ATGCTGTCATACAATATTGTCTTAAGGGATGGGAGCTGAAGCTCGACGAGAATCCAATGTTTACGTTCCAAAACAGGGATAAACACCTGCAATCATAAGTAATAATTCATTCATTTGCGCACTTATTTCATAAAACCTTTAAACTCAATCTAAAATAAATACTAACCTTATCGACCTCCCACCATGCAGGATAAAGTTTAGCTTGTCCATTGCCCAAATCAAATGATTCATCTCGTGCATTCTTCAAGTGAACGGCGTGAAAAGACGTCGGCATAATTGTATATCGTATATTTTTATTTTTCTTAAGTTTTCTTATTATTAGAAGACGTGTCACCCACGCATCGATATGCTGTTTTACAAAAAAAGACATATATTAGTGACTTACATAAATTTAAAAAAAAAATTAATTAAATTGAAATATAAGAAAAATATAAGACTTACCCCCCATCGAAATAGCCATTGTCTTCGACCCCTAATAATACGCCCCACCAAGACCGATCAAGCAACAAATAGATATCATCGGTGAGCTTGCATATGTCAGTGAAACACCCCTGGCTCTGCTCATGTAGATAAAAATCAACAGCGGTCTTAGCCCAAAGGGTGTTATCCAGAATTGTGTCCGGTAGTTGTTCCCTCTCCTCTTCAGATACCGGTATGGTACTGGCCGGTAACTCATACGAGAGCCAACTTGAATCCATCATGTCCGGCACGTCAGAGGGTTTCTCAAGAAGCCTACATATGACGCCATGTGAATCGGGCTCTTGAATGGTGGGAGGGACCTCTTCAATGATGACAGTGGCCTCTTGAACGGTGGGAGGGGACTCTCGAGGAATGATAGGGGGGCCTCTTCAACGATAGGAGTGGACTCTTGAGGGATGACAGGCGAGTCGGGCTTCTTCTTGCGGTGTCTTCGCACTATTGGGGTGTACGGAGACTTAATAGCACGTGCACGCTGTCTGATGCGTGAACTCCGTCGTGCAAGCATAACCCGACGTAAAGCATCCACTCTATCGGGCCGCTAAATAATTAAATACAAAAAATCATCTCACGTAGAGCGGCAACCTCACCACGTAAAGTTGACACCTCCACACGCCATGCACCATCGTTATCGCGTAGAGTACCGATCTCCTCACGCAAGGCATTGACCTCATCACGTAACTCCCTTGACTCATCCCGTTGAGGTGGAGGTGGAGAACAGGGAGATAGGAGTCGTGGCATCTTTGCCGGTCGCCTATCATGAGGTGATGGTGGAGAAGAGGCTCGATGATGTGACGGGATAGGTGATGGCTCTCGTTCTAGAGGTGTATAGTCGGGTCTATCGGGTGATGGCTCTAGGTGAGGTGATGGCTCTCGAATTGGAGGAAGTGGATGCTGCTCATCATCCGTGCCATCAAAAAAAACTCTGACTAGCTTGCCACCAATCAGTGGCAAGCTCTTCCTCCGTGGGTGTCAGTCTTTGTAATGGAATGTTGGCCTCCTAAAATATAAAAACTCAAACAAAGTTAAACGTCTACTATTAATAACTAGTTTATATATTATATGAAAGTATTTGTGTTAACTTACATTATTTATTGTCGCATATGGTATTAAGTCTTCCCAATCCAACAGAGTTTTCCTCTTCCAGGAAATAGCCCTGGGAATATCATTTGACGTTTTTATTGCATATGTACGCATGCTGGGGAAAGCCTCGAATATCCAAATCTACAAACAATATAATAACAAAATTAGTAATTGTTAAATAATTAATTATAATTTTAGAAACATTATATAGAAATTCTTACCTTAAAGGCCCAAACAAAGCCTGACAAAGTGTATTTGGACCCATCGCCCCGCAAACTTTTGCGGTCATCAAAGGCAGACGACAACTTAGTCCAGGTAGCTTTCCATATATACGAACCCCACGGAAACAGATTCCATGCATTCAGGTCCTCTACCAATATTATTAGCTCCCGATGAATAGGTTGTCTGGCCTCTCTGCCTAAAAAGCCGGCATACACAAGTAGTAGAAGGCATACTCGGACAACATCGACGTCATCCATCCGAGTGAAACCAGCTTTCTTATTAAACAATTTCTTCAGGTCGTCGACATGTAGGTTCGGCTTCTCCATTGACTCATCCGGAAAAACCCGGGATAACCATGATGGGCGGGCGATATGACGAGTGTACCGGCCTACATCATCGTGTCCGAATCGTAGACCAGTGATTAAGCAGAACTCCTTCCGCCCAAAGCAAGTATACGCTGGTGGAAAATGAAACCATATCTCTTCCTCACCACGTTGTATACTGTCGGGTAGATTTGATGTCATGGTCTGAAGCCACAAATGGGTCAAATTAGCATCTCCACCCGGATGCTGTACTCTCAGCCATGGCCCGAAGCAGGTTTCCTCAAACAATTGTCTTTGAGCAGGTGAAAGCTTCGAAGCAATTGTAGTGGCCATGCTGACTTTATTTCTCAAGGTCAATTGAGCCGAAAAAAATTTCTACAAAAACAATAAACATACCAAGTTAGATATACCAAAAACTACACTGTGAAGATATACCAAAAACAATAAACATAAAAAGTAGTAGTTTATTCTTGAAACTAAAATTTGCAACACTGTTTTGTCTTTTGGTTGAAATGAAAATCGCAACGAGAGAATCGCAACGCGAAATGACAATCGCAACGAGAGAATCGCAACGCGAAATGAAAATCGCAACGAGAGAATCGCAACGCGAAATAAAAATCGCAATGCGATTTTGGTTTCGCGTTGCGATTCTCTCGTTGCGATTGTCATTTCGCGTTGCGATTGTCATTTCGCGTTGCGACAGTCATTCTCTCGTTGCGATTTTCATTTATCTCGTTGCGACTCTTCTGCAAATTGAAACTTGAATGGATTGCATTACTTCAACCAAAAGACAGAACAAAGACAAAGACAAATACTAACTTGAAAATCGCAACGAGAGAATAGCAACGCGAAATGAAAATCGCAACGAGAGAATCGTAACGCGAAATGAAATCTAAGTGAAATGGTTAATCTATTATTGAGATGACCAGTAAACTTATCATCAGTTTCAATATGAAAAACCTACAATAATGCAAACATTTCAAAATAAAAATAATTAAAAAAACTAACCCTCGGAGGTTGATTTTCCATTTCTGAATATTGTGAGGGATTTCTGACCGTGAATGGTTGTGAGGGATTTCGCCGGAGATGGGGACGGAAATCTTCGGAGATGGGGACGGATTTCTTCGCCGTAGAGAGTGAGAGATGGAGATGGGACTGAGTTGTGATTTTAGGTTTTAGGTTATGAGTTGCGATTACGGGATTTTGTCTTAATATTCGTTTTTGTAATTTGAAAATAAAATACGCGTAGCGATTATAATGGCGCTTTAAATATCGCGTTGCGATTTACGGATACGCGTTGCGATTTTATGTATTATCGTTGCGATTTACCGATACGCGTTGCGATATACGGATACGCATTGCGATTTACCCATACGCGTTGCGATTTACGGATACACGTTGCGATTTACGGATACGCATTGCGATTTATGTGTTCGCGTTGCGATTTTCATATTCGCGTTGCGATTTTGGAAAATCGCAATGCGAATTTGACTATCGCATTGCGATTTTCAAGAATCGCGTTGCGATTTTGGAAACTGATTTGCGATTCTGGGGATCGCGTTGCGATTTTTATTTCGCGTTGCGATTTTGTTGGTCATTTTGGCAAATCCAAAAAAAGTTGGTTAAAATCGTATATTATAACTTTTTTTTGGTCACTGAGGTGATTTTCTCTTTAATAAAATGCCACTAGAAGTAGGGAAATTATTTTTGTGCAAGTTGGGATTAAAATACTAAAGCACATGGAAAATGCTCCTAAAACTGTTTCATGAAATAAAGCACATAGAAATTGAACCTCAGATTGATAGCCCACCCAAGCCTAGGACAAACGGATACAATTTCGTGGATTTTGTACCGTACCTGTTTCAATTGAGGCGAGAATAAGTATAACTTTAGTAAGTAATAGACGGATGTGGATTTAGAAAATAGTACCCATCGCAGGTAGTGGACGGGTGATGGGTTTAAGATCTTACCCGCCCCGCATCCGCTTGTCCCACATTCGTCTGCCCACTAAATACCCATTAAATTTTGGATCATTAAAAATTTAATATAATTTTAGGGTATGTCATTTATGTGTGCAAAAGAACAAAAAATATTATGTGTTTGTCATTTATGTTTCTAGGATTTAATTATGTTTTTTATTATGATATTTTATGTACTTTAATATCTATATTAACACTTAAAATCTCCAGTTGGGTAGTAGGTGTGGGGATGAATTTAGGAATGTACCCACGTAGGCAGGTTCAGATATATTTCCCAGAGTAAGTTTATACCCAATAACACTTAAATTAAAATAAAAATTCAAATATTATAAAAGCCAAACCTAAGCCATTAAAATTCTTAGGATCCCAGTATTATCAGTGAAGTAATGCTTCATTGACATCTGATAAAAAAATGTCTAGCCCAGTCTACATCCTCCTCCCAATGATCAAAAGTCTAGGCGCTCAGCCCACTCTAAAATGGACAAACATCGACTTAGGGATGAGATAATTAATGCTTGTTTAGATATCATAAAATATTATATTATATTAGATCAATATATTTTATTTTTATTTTTATTTAAATTTTGACATGTGATTAAATTTATTTAGATGATCAAGCTTTGATAAATTAAATTAATAAAAAAAGTATTGAATTAATTAGTTATCATTAAATTATCATATTAAATATGAAATAAACGATTAGATATAATATTTTATAGATTCAAAAAAGTTTTTCAAATTATCCACGAAATTAATTCAAATAATAAATAATTTAATATCACTTTAACTAGATCTAGAATTTAAAATTTTATATAATATAAAATCTCTATTGAAACTTACCCGTTAAATCTAAATGTATAACCCAAATAATAGATATAATAATTTGTTAAATCCAAATTAACAAGTATTCCGTAACTCAAAAGAAATGTTCTAAATCAACACCTTTTCAAATTGTATTTTCTTGTACAAACATAGTACCTCCCAAAACCTAGGAAAGCCCTAAGCCCCTAAACAAAGAAAAACCACCCAGCCTCTTCTGCAAGCAAAGAGCGCATCAGTTGATTTGAACCTGAATCACATCATTCCTCTCCTCATCATTGATCTTAGGAACCACAACTTTGAGCACACCGTTCTTCATCTCAGCCACGATCTGATCGGTCTTGTAAATTTTCTCGGGCAAAAGGATCCTGCTGGTGTATCTCCCGTCGGTTTCCCCCTCGTTAGATTCTTTGGCCTCGCCTTCGATGACCAGTGTGTTCTGTTCCACGGACACTTTGACATCCTCTTTCCCGAGCCCTGGCATGTCAATTCGAAGGTTCAAGGCGTCTTCCGTTTCCTTAGCGTTCCAGCTTCGGCGTAGACCCCCTCCAATGCCACGCGATGCAGCCACAAATGGATTCTCCATGAATTGATTCATCATGTTCAGGACTTGGCTCAGGTTCCTCGCTGGGGAGAAAGGATCAAACGCATCTGCACATCAAAAAATGGACGACCAAATCAGCATCAAAGAAAAAAAAAATTCCTACATGGAAAATGGAACGGTGGAAAACTACCTGAGAAGAAACCATCACCACGGCGAGAAAGTGAGCGTACGCGGCGGCGATCATCGCTGAACTCACTCTCGTCACCGTCGCTATCGAACTCACGCATGGCGTTGCTGTTAAAGAGCCTGGAGGTCGGCGAAGCGATGGCCATTGGGCGTACCATGCGCAAGGAGCTATTGAAGATGTTCGATGAAACGAGTCTCTTGAGAGCTAGAGAAGCCATTGACGTTGATTGCCAAGTAGATAATTTCCCAAATTTGCTTGTTGAAGCACGACGGAGATTTTACGAGCTAGTAATGCGTGGAGATTTTGCCTGCTAAAACCGGGCGAAACCGGATTTTATAAATTGGAAGGAGGAAGATGCTTGAGAGATTTCTAGAAGGATTACTCTGATATTAGATGATTCTCGAAGGAAACGTCACATGTAATGGCTGGAGATACGCTCTTTCCCAAGTAAATAAATTTTGTTGGGCTTAGGCCTATTTCGCATCGGCTTTTGCATTTCTTCCAATATTTTCTAGAAAAATCGGGAGATCCTCAGCACTGGATGCAGTGATTGGACGAATGTGTTAAGCTTTGATTTTGGAGAATAAAATGGAATTCACAATTTGATGCCATAAGTTTTTAAATATTCTTTTATCAAATCTCGATATAATTATTATTTTTTTATCTTCACCTTCATCGTCAACTCTATAAATATTCTCAAAATAATACTCCAATTATTTTACTCTTGTAAGTCTTAAAATGTGACAGCATCATGATATATTTATGTAGTTATAATACTTCTCGAATTATATATCACTTGGTATTTATTATCTTCAAATGCTCTTCCTGCATTCAGTGCAACCGCCTTTTCCGTTGTACCTAAGGCTGATACCCCTGCTATGGTCGAGGGTTTTAGGCCCATTTCCTATTTCTTCATAGTGTATAAAGTCGTAATAAAAATTCTTGTGAGAAGATTTGAAGTTTATTTTCTAAGAATTGCATCTATGAATCAATGTATTTTCGTCAAAAGAATATCTATTGTTGATGAATTATAATATGATGTTCGCACAAGAATATGTTCCTGATCAATTCAAAAACTTGATTAGTATTTATTTCACCTCATCTAAATTCTTTGTTTCTTTCAACGAAAGTCTAGTAGGATTTCTCATTTGATCCAGGGGTATTAGAAGGATCCTTTGTACCCTCATCTTTTTGTTCTTTTCGCGAATTGCTTTTCTTTATTCGATATAACTATAGTTCAAGTAATTAATTATTTGATTTTCGTCGCAGGAGCTACAACTTCAAGCTGACTCGTATGTGTTTTCTATGAATCGACGTATTTTCTGCTGACAACAAGAACTTCGGCGGGTGTACTTAAAACTTTGATTTCTGTTTTCTTTAAACTTGATTGGAGTGTGTTTCCTGATACGAGAAGAAAGAAACATGAAGCATTTTCGAGGACTGTAGAGATATGATGCGCACTGAGGAAATTATGAATTACATTAAGAATTTAGTTCCAAATGAAGCTCCAAATGGTCTCCGAAGAGATCGCCGCTTCGCTCAGGAGCAAAGTTCTTCCGCTATCCTCCGTGTGCCTCGCGCTACCTGTGATATTCTCCGTCTCCAAGACGATGCCGTTTCTCTCCGCAATTCTGTTGTCGGCATCCTCAACAAGCTCAAGAAGGTAAACTATTTTCCTTGCAGATCTTATATCGTTTCAATGTTTCTCGAGTGCTTTCCCGGAAACTTGAAGGGTTCTTATTCATTGGAGGTGAAAATCATAGTTATTTGTATAAGCTTGAGCTGAATCGAGATTCAAGTCCTCTTACATACAGATTTAAGTTAAGATGTTAATCTTAAGATTAAATTTCGTCATGTTTTAATGCGATGGTATAATATTTGTTTAATTTGAGCTGAATTGAGATTCAATTTCTCTTATATACAGAACTAAGCTAAAAAAATTAACTGTTAGAGTAATCTTACGCTTATATTTCTTCTAGTTTTAATGCCATGAAATAGGATTTGATGTAGGTTTTATAGTCAATTCATGGACCTGAAGATGAGTTTAGTTTTCTACCTTGATATTTATTGGCTCTTATTTGCAGGCAGAGGGATCATCAGCGGAGTCTATATCTGCTCTTGCTAATGTTGACACTGTCAAGCACAGAATGGAAGCTGCATACGAGACACTGCAGGTGAGAATCATTGATTATTTCATCCTGACCTTTCACGTATTCAACTTTTGAAGTTCATGTTAGCCTTGGCTAAATATTTGTTTGGTTTTATCTGCAAAAATAGGATGCCGCTGGATTAACACAACTGAGTGCAACAGTGGAGGATGTGTTTGCCTCCGGCGATCTTCCACGTGCTGCAGAAACCTTGGCTAACATGAGACACTGCTTATCTTCTGTTGGAGAGGTAACTATATTGACAGCCCTTTTATGATGTTTTATGATTTTTCATCCATAAAGTTTGGTTTCAATGATTTAATTGTTATCCTTAAATCTGTTCTTAGGTGGCTGAGTTTGCAAATATTTGGAAGCAACTTGAGGTCTTAGAGGACAGGTTGGACACAATGGTGCAGCCTCGTCTTACAGATGCATTATCAAATCGCAAGGTTACTATATTTTGTTCGTGACATTTGTTGCTTTTTCACTTGCAATTCCATCATCCTGTTTTACTAATAGATTGCTCTATACATTTATACTTATCACCTATACAGGTTGATGTTGCTCAAGATTTGCGAGGAATACTTGTCCGAATTGGTAGATTCGAGTCTCTGGAGCTGCACTATACCAAAGTTCACCTAAAGCCCATAAAGCAACTCTGGGATGATTTTGACTCTAAAAGGAGAGTTAGTAAGCTTGCTAATGAGAAGAGCGAAGCTGAAAGGCCAGCGATTAATAATGCGTCACAGTCAAGTTCTCTCGCTGTTTCTTTCTCAAGTTGGTTGCCAAGTTTCTATTATGAGTTGCTACTCTACCTTCAACAATAATGGAAGTGGTATTTATTGTTGAATTCAATGCTCCACATTTTAGTTCTCAAAGTAGTTTTCCCATGCTTTCTTATTTTATTTTCTGGCAAATTTGAATTGCTTTAGATTCTATGTTACCCTAAAATTTGCTGCAAAAAGAGTTCTTTACTTTGGATTTTATGTGTGTGTGTTGCTATTTGTTTTCAAAGTTACTTGTTCTACATTCATTAATGGAAGAAGGGTTTTTGAAGGAACCAAGCATCATCTAACTTCGTCACATATTTCAGTCTTATTGGGAAATTGGAAAATATTCCAGGATGCTTGTGGAAAATTTTTCTTCCATAAAAATTATTTGGAATATGAAAATTCACTAAACTCTCCCCAACAGGTGTATGTTTGCTTTTCCTGATGATTATTAGACTCTTGTCCCAAAGCTTCTCACTGAGACCATGGCTGCTGTGGGATCAAGTTTTGTTTCCCGCATCAACATTGCTCCTGGAGAGGTGGTTCATGAAACAAAAGCATTTGCTAAGGGTAATAGTTAAGTTTCATGATATTCCGTAAGTTATTATTTGTATTGGTTGATCTTTCTATCCGATTTTAGCTAGACAATTCATGATTATTTTTTTCTTCTCACTCCTTGTTAATGACATCAGGTATAGTAACATTTTATCTGGAGATCTGCAAAAGGGTAGTAAGATTCAGACTAAGCATCTAGAAGCTCTGATTGATTTACACAATATGACAGTAATCTTAGCAAGAAATATCCAGCACTTATTTTCAGAATCTGATCGAGTTTTGATGGACACACTGAAGACAGTGTACTCTCCATATGAATCATTTAAACAGAGGTAAGCCATTACAAAGATAATAAAATGCAATGCTCTTTTTTCTTCTTCCGATTTCTACATCTAGAGGCGCAGAGTCTACCTCAATTTACCTATCAAACACTCAAGTATTATGTATATAATGTGTACCCAGCTTGTTTATAGGAAACCAAAAATTTATACTGTCTATGTTTTGTCACAATCCTTGTGATTTCTTCCCATTCAGGTTTTTCCCTTCTCAGCGGGGGAAGATGTGGGCAACCCTTTTATCATGTCTGTATAATTTATAATTATTGCAATTTTGTCTTTTATATTACAGCGCTTATTTTGGTATTCTCTGTTTTTTAATGAGCAAGTTGGATATGTTATAGGTACGGACACATGGAGCGGGCTATCTTCTCCTCTCCTCTGAGATCGCCGGGGTGGATCTAAAGGGAGCTGTCTCACGTAGTGTGGGAGCCCAGGGTAATGAACTTAGTGAGACAGTTAGAAGAATAGAAGAATCTATTCCTCAAGTTATTGTACTTCTTGAGGCAGTTGTAGAGAGGTGGATCAGCTTTACTGGTGGGTCAGAGGCAGATGAGTTGATTCTTGCACTTTATGACATAATGTTACAGTACATTTCTACCCTCCAAGTCACCCTCAAATCACTTAGAGCTGTCTGTGGAGCGGACCACAAGGACATTAGCTTGGACAAGAAGGAAGGGGCTCAAAATTCAAGAAAAGCTGATTTGATTTCTAACGAAGAGGAGTGGTCAATTGTTCAAGGGGCCTTGCAGATACTCACAGTTGCAGACCGTCTAACAAGCAGGTCTTCTGTCTTTGAAGCATCATTGAGAGCTGCTCTGGCTAGATTGAGCACAAGTTTTTCACTCGCAGCATTTGGTTTGAGTTTTTAGCAAAACCAGCTACGGGTTGCAAATGATGATGGAAATGGAGAAACACCATTGGGTGGAAGAGCTGCCTTGGATGTTGCAGCTGTGCGACTTGTTGATGTTCCTGAGAAGTCCCGGAAACTGCTTAACCTTTTAGATCAGGTATTTGAAAATAAAATTTAGACCTTTGTTTTGTGTTCAAAATTTCCCTTTGACATATTTGTTGTGCAGTCCAAAGATCCTCGATTTCATGCACTTCCATCCCAAAGGGTAGCTGCATTTGCTGAATCAGTGAATGAGCTGGTGTACGACGTCCTCATATCCAAAGTTCAACAACGTCTCAGCGATGTGTCATGTATGCCAATCTGGTCTGCAGCAGAGGAGAAAGCGCTTTTCATCTACCAACCTTTAGTGCATATCCTCAGTCCTACGTGACAAGCGTGGGTGAATATCTTCTTTGCCTGAACAATTGTAACCACTTGCTGAGTGCATTTCTAACAGTGACGCCAATAATGATGAAACTCAGTTCTTTGCAACAGAATGGATGTTCAAGGTAAGCATTCTATCCCATTTAATGTTTTTTAAAATTATTTTTATTTCTTTCGTGAATTAACATTATTGTACATATTGGCCGTGTTTTTGGGAAGGTCGCTGAAGGTGCCACCGCCTTGTACATGGAGCAGCTACGTGGGATCCAGTATATAACAGATCGTGGAGCACAACAGCTGTCGGTTGATATTGAGTACTTGAGTAATGTGCTTTCTGCTCTCTCAGTGCCAATTCCTCTGGTCCTTGCAACATTTCAAACCTGCCCTGGAACTCCTAGAGATCAGCTAAAAGATCTGTTAAAGTCTGATAATGGTAATCAACTTGATCTTCCCACTGCTAACCTTGTGTGTAAAATTCGGCGTCTGAATTTGGATTAGTAGATTTTGCTCCACTATGTAATTTGAAATAACATAATTTACGTTCCATATTGCCCATCTTTTGCATTTTTATCAATGAAATGATGCCCGTTTGCACCTGTTTCCTGGTAAATGGAATCTAAGGTAATGTTCTTCCGTCCAGTGGAGGAAACTCAGTTGAATATTATTTGCTACATTTACCGTTTTTTCCCCACGGTAAATGCTCAATGAGATTACTAGTCGCGGTCAAAATTTACTTCCAAACAAAGGAGGTCACGTAAAACTAATAGTTTAACATTAGTGTGGTTACTCGGCTTTCCCCGAACGGAAAACGAGGAAAAAAGAGCAATCTTGGACCAATACTGATTTAGGTCGAAGCAAAATCCTCTCGTTTTTCAGCTTTTGAATAATATATAAAGATATATGGCCTTTTACGGACCAAATCATCAACTTCACATCAACCTTCAAAATCAGGATTCAAACTACAAAGAACAATGATATGGAAACGCAATGTAAATTTGTAATACAAATCCATCACAAGAACAAAGGCAAGAAACCAAATAGCTCAGCCTAGCCATTTACAAGACTAAATAGAAGGGAACAGTCTATTGCATGGTTTTTTTAAAGGCATAAGAAATGCGTCAAATTTTACTTCTAGGTTCAAACCACGTATGGTTATAGGCATTTTCGCAATTTATCTCAGATTTTCCCTGTACTATTCCACAACAGAAAGCCTTTTCAAATAATAATTGATACAAAGCCACATAAGCATCCACAGAGGCAACCATAAAATAAAAACGCATGTATGTCTGCCTAAGTCAATTAAAGCATTGTGGTGCTGTAACTGAAATTTTATCTATTACCTCGAAGTTGGAATATCATCTTTCTCAGCAGCTTGACTATGGATAAATGCAATACGAATGAAGCCGGGATAAATAAGACTCAAAACAATGTCCATACTCCATAGAAGTCAAGTCCAACCAGAATAAAAGGAGTTAAACAATAATATTGTTATACCTACCTCAACCCTTTTCTTCTCTAGTAATTTTGATGAAAGGGAGGAGTTGGTACAGTCCCAACAAAGCTGTGAGTTACCAAGAAAAAAGTTTCATCCATGATGACAAAATTTAGACTACTCCAAAAGCACACTTTTATAAACTAAAATTAAAATAAGAGGTCTACCTCATTGGCTTTCAAAGCCAGAACATCTATTGTACAGAATGGCACTAATATCGGCGAACTGGACTTCTAGAGGACCTCCTGTTACTATGTCTACCAGGGGAACGGGGCCTGCTGCGATTCTGATACCTATCCCTGCCCCCATCTCTACCATTCTTGTACCTCCATTCCCTCTCTCCATCCCTACTACCTCTGCCATTCCTCTCTCGAGACCTTTCACGATCCAAATCACGTTCTTGGTATCTGTCCGAATCCTTGCCTCGATCCTGATATTTGTCCCTATCACCTGAATCACTTCTGCTCCTACTCTCATATTCCTTCTCTCTCTGCTTTCTCCGTTCTTCAACTTCTTTTTCTCTAGCTAATCTTTCCTCTTCCCTCGCTTTCTCCTTTGCTTCCTGAAAAGTTCATTCAGGTTCTTCATTCACAGCAAAAGATTAAATACACTGACACCCACAAAGCATTCTACTCAGAAACATTTACCTTGAACTCAGCAATGAAATCCCGAACCATTCCATAACCAATATGTTGCTTTCCTGTAACATGGGACTGAGTCCTCTCAGCAGCATCATTAGCTACTAGAAAAGAACCACAAACCTCACATAGAGCCATTTTCTTCTCCTGTGCAAGCATCAATACTTTGTCATTTTGAGGTTGTTGAGTCAAGACTGTCTTCTCAGCATTAAGAGCCTCCACCTAAACAAATCACAGAATGTAAAGCTTCAAAACCTGAAATGCCTATTGTGATAAATTTCAAAGCCAGAAATGAAAAGGAAATATAAACATATTAAAGAGGCAATCAGACAAACAGAATTTCCAAGTTGGCCAAAAGCTGTCCGTCCAGGATGTGGCAACATTAAGAATAATATCTCACAACTTGTGGATCAATCACTAAAAGGTTATGGGAAACCTTAACCGCACCTTTCTCATGAGTGCCTCAGCTTCATCCACCTTTCCAGCTTCACCAAGGCTCTCCACTTGCTCCAGCAGATTTTTTAATTTTTCCTCTAAGACAGATAACTGTTCAGACTTTTCTGCAGATAGTGGAGCAGGTGGTGCTGGTTCCACCTCTTGAGCAAGGCGTTCTCGTCCACGCCTAACTCTTCTGTCAAGGTCCATCACCTAGACAGTATAACAATGTTATGTGATATATGAATATTACAATTGTTGTCACAAGAAAACAAGAGGGATATTAAATTAAAACGTGAGGGCAATGGAACCCACCAATTTCTCACAAAACTTAGCCAGTTCAGCTTCAAATTTTGGAACATATGCATCGTGTCTGGAGGACTTCTCAAAACTAAAGTCACAAATATCAAACGCAAATTTAAAATACAAATCCCACATGAAAAATGTATATTGATCAGAAAAAACAGAACTGGTCCAGCCAACCCAACCTCCAAAAGTTAGAGGCTGAAAAATGTATATTGGTCCAGACAAGTTATTTTTGTAAACAATGCAAGACACATCATACAACTTACAAGGGAAAATATCAACAATTTAGCAAATGGGAACCAGATACCAAAGCAGCAGCAATGATATAACTTAAACCATGGGGCTCTTTATATCACAATTTTTTCCAGCACATCTTAGAGGAAACGCCACAAGTACTGCATCCAAAATATACTTACTAAAAAGCGCATTACCGTAACTTTTTCTCAGCTAATATTACCATATATTACCTGTCTCCCCAAAGATTAATGTGCTTTAGTTAAATTTGACTTCATTCTCGTAATAATACCATCTCATCCTTTAACATAGCGGATGAGGCAAGGACAAGTTATTCAGAAGGCAAAGTATACCCAAAAATGTTTCAAAAGGAACAGTGGTTTGAGACAGATCAAAAGGGAAAATATATAGATCAATTTACTCTCCCGTGTGCATCAGTCACCCATTTACATTTCCAGGAACGATAGAATTAATAATAAAGGAAGAGAGGTAATGTTAAAATGTTACATCCAGAATGTCATTACGATTCAAACAGATATAAAAGTAGACATGCAATTTTAAGCAAGTAAACAATCCCCAATTACTTGGTATAAAAAAGCCCCCATTATCTCTGATGGTGCTGATCGTGATAGCAATAATGTTAACTGCAGATACTAGTAGGAGGGAAATCCAAAAGCAAGGTTTCAATAGCTAAGCACCGACGGCATCGAACACAATCAATTACTTCTATATCTACTTCCGCAATTTGAATTATTGTGACTAATACTGCTCCATTTTACATAAAATACATAATATTTTTTTCATTTCCCCTTGGAAAATACTATTGAGGTCCTAAAGCATTTCTTTGTAAGAAAAATCATAGGTTTAGAAAGGATCCAACATAAAACATCCTTTCCATCCCCCCACTTTTGCCAATAACATCCTATGTTAATGAGAGTTCAATTATCTCTTCATACCCCTTGTAAATATCTGATCGGAATGTTTAGATCAGTTACCTCAAAAAGAAAAACCAGCAACACCTTAGCATACCGCGTGTAATGCATAATTAAGTTCCATCCTACATGGACATATGAAGAAGCTAACTTAATAAGGAAAACACAAGATCAATAACAGTCTTCGAAAAAGTTGATTAAAAGTTTACTATTAATCACCAAGTCTGTGCAAGGTTAAAAAAACCCAACAGAATAAGCACATTCATTTGAACAGCTATTTGTGATGCATTTGGACAAAATGGAAATCTCACAGCATAGACATCCAAAAAGAATGCCCATTGAATCCCACCTTTCTTTCAACTTTTGATCATGAACTCTAGGGCATGGTCCTGATGCACCAAAACACAACACCAGAAAACATAAAACAGTCATTAAATTTTCACATTCTCTTAACACAGCTTAGTAATCACTACTAATATACCACGCAGCTAAAGGAAACTAAGAAAAACCTAACCGTCTCAGAAACAATAAGATACAGAATAATCGAATATAGCAAAAACATTCTCTTATTATGTAATAAATTATTATTGGAACGAAACAGCAACTGGAAATTCAAAATTTAAAACGCACCGAGATCACTGCGAGTGTTGACGAAGAGGTCGTGAGGACAAAAGCGAACCATATAAAATGCACAAACCTCTTTATCATCCCATCGAAGTTCCTTGTGTCCCTTTTTCTCTTCCTCCGTTAGATTACGAGCTATAGTTTATTTAAAAAAAAAAGTTAGAAAATGAACTCGTATAAATCCCAAGAAATTAAACAAATATCGGAGCCAAATAGATACGAAATTTCCAAATACCCGTTCCCATGAGTTCGTCAAGAAGAGCTCGCTGTGCATCCATGCTTTGATTTGAAATGGTGAGGCAGATTAAAGAATTTCGAGGATATTTCCGCAAATAGAATCCTACTAAATGCAAATCGAAGGGAAACAGATTTAGGGTTTTGCGGACGGGGAGGCGCAGTAGATTATTTTTTAGGCTAACTGTGAGTCCTGAGCAGTACCCGTACAAGTGTCATTAGACATTGTCCCTTTAGATTATACATTCTTATCAAGTTATCCTTTAAAATATTTTTCGAAATATTTTTTTTTAAAGTTTAAATTATTATTTTATTTACAAATCATTAAAAGAATTTGGTGATCAATCAAAACACGTTACATCGTATTTTAATTTTATTTATTTAAATAAATAGAAAAATTATAAAATAAGATTAATAATATATAAAAATATTCCTTTTCTTCAGCTCTACCATTAACACTGCGTTTTTTTTCTCCAACCTCAAAATCTATCTTTTAAATTAAATTGATAAAATATTTCAATAAGAATCAAATATATAATTATGTTAATTTTATTAATTGTCACACTAATATATTTATCAAATGTTAACGATTAATGTCTTGATTAACACAATTAAATAGGAAAATGATCTAATTGATAAAATTAAAAGATCAATTGTCAAAAATAAAAAGTGATAATAATGAAATAGTCATAGATATGTATAGTTCACTTTAAATAAAAACAAAGGTGATCAATTATATAATTTATTTAAATTGGGGATGATATTATTGTTAACTAAAGGTGTTTACAGAATGAGTTCATCGCTAGTTGAGTAGTGTTTCACTTGTGCTAGTTTTAAAAAAATGTTCAATTTGGCTCTTTACTAGTTAAGTTTGATAAAATTTTATTCTACTTGTATTCACTAAAAGAATTTATTATTCAACTCGACTCATTGTTCATTAATCTCATCAATTTTTTTACCTTGTTTTTTTAACTATATATGAAATGGAGTAAATTAATAATTAACAATTTAATATTTTTATTATTATTTATTAGAAAATTAATAATAATTGTTAATTAATAATTTAATATTTTTTATTTATTAATAAATAAATAATTATTAATTAGATTTCTTAATAAAATAATTCTTTAAAGTAATTATTAAAAAATTATAAAAAGATGAAAGAACACTTACCGAATGAAGTTAGATTTTGTTAATTTAATTCTATTAGACTTATAATCGAATTCAAAGTTCTAATCAAATTAATCCAAATTAAGCATTGATCAAGTCGATTCCGATACAAATTTGGTTTCTTCCGATTCCCAAGGAACCGGTGCATCTGCTCCGGCCCGGGGAGACCGGTTTCTCGAAAGACAACAAGCTGACGAGGCGGCTAAGGTTATCATAAAGGAGATAAAGAAGAGTAAGAAGAAGACGAAGAAGGTTCTGAAGGTTAATATGGCAACCGCCTGTTTTTATGGTTGTGGAGCTCCATTGCAAACTTCGGAGCTGGATGCTCCGGGTTATGTGGATAAGGATGCATATGAATTGGTATTAAACTTCAACTTTGGCATTTTAAAAACTAGACCCCCGTTCTTGTTTTGAATGATGAAATGCTTTTGGTTTTAGTTTAAATGAAACAATTATTTTTGAATGGTCATTACATTTTAATATGATATTTTCTATTAGCAAAATTGTAGGGACAAAAAGCAAGTAGTGGCTGGGGAATTGATTGAACCTTTTTTTTCCTTGAATAAATTAAAGTTTTTGGTCAAATTAGGTAGATAATTTAGTACTGGCTTATGATGGCAGAAGAAGAAACACCACCAGCTAAGAACGATTCTTTGTGGGAGATGTAGGCTTTTATCTCATGGGCATATGATAACTGCTGTTCGTGGGAATGGAGGTTATTCCGGGGGCAAGCAGTTTGTTTCAGCTGATGAGCTTCGAGAAAAGCTCTCTCACTTGTGTACGAGAAGGCGTTGGTTATTAATTTATTTGTGAATTTTGGTGATAGTCCAGTGTGGTAAACGAAGTATGCTAAATGCATGTAACTTACCATTTTGTTATTAGTTAAGAAACGGTTTCCTATCCACTCATTTTTTATAGTCGATAGTAGCAGAATAAGGTGCTTATGATAATAAATACTGTATTACAGAGTACAGACTATCTCCCAGTAAGTGATTGTTACATATTTTCTGTTTTCTCCAAGCAAGGCCTCCTTTCTCAAGGATCTAACTATATTCCGATCTTATTCATTAATTCAATGTTCCACTAAGCGATCAAGTGACTGGCTTTTTGACCAACTACTTTTAGGTTGATATTGTGGACTTCAACGGCAGCTTCTTATCCCGTGTACGTGATCTTGCTGGTGCAAATCCTATAATACTAGTTGTGACTAAGGTAATAATCTGCACTTTTGGCTTTGGGCTATCATCCTATCAATAATTTTATGACATATAATCTGCAACAATGCTGATTATAATGTGTTTGCTTTTCTCTGTTAGGTTGATCTCCTTCCAAAAGGGACTGATTTTAATTGTGTGGGTGATTGGGTTGTGGAGGCCACTACGAAGAAGCAGCTTACGTAAGAAATGATTTCAGTGGAATTATTCGTATAATTGATGTTGGATCTATTTCATTTAACATTCTATGAAGATTTTACACCTTTCAGTAATTGTTTCATTTGGAAGCTTGGTTTAACCTGTTTCTGATTCAATCAATGTGCTCTGCTCCACAGTGTCTTGAGTGTGCATCTTACTAGCTCAAAGTCTTTAGTTGGAATTGCTGGAGTTGCATCAGAAATCCAAAAAGAGAAGGTCTGTACTTGCCCTTACATCCATATATTTGAAATATCTTGTTCTTCATATTAATGCTTGAGAAAACACATTCAAATTGAAGCATCCTGAACCAAATATGAAATAAATATGGCCATATACTTTTGATGAAGTCCTGAAGTTTCTTATCTGGTTTTGGTTTACAATCAGTTACCACTGCATGAAGTCCCGAAGTTTTCTTCTATGCATTAAATGTTCCATTTTATCTAAACTTGTTATTATAGAAATAAGTGAAGCCTTTTTATAATTTGGTTATTTTTCCCCTTAGTTTAACTTCTTTACTTGACTTTTATGATGCAGGAGCGGGATGTATACATTCTGGTTAGTAAGTCCTGCATTGGAAGCTTTTGTAGATTTACAGAGTGGAGTTCACAATATTACTTTATTTTACTGATATTACCTTTGGATTCCTTTCTGCCTTTATGTCCTCTCATTGCTGGTTTCTTTATTGCATTGATCATAAATGCAAAATGGGTTCCCAATCCCATTTAGTGTCATGCGTGTACTTTGCTGCTAGTACATGCATGTCCAGGGAAACATGAAGTAATATCTTTCCTTTGCTTTTCATGTGTCTGGCCAAAGGTCATTTATCTGCTTAAATCAAAATGTTAGTTGTTCTTAAGCTTTGACTTATTATGAATTTAAATTGTATCATATAAGTGATTATATATTTTCATTTGATCATTCTTACAGGGGTCAGCTAATGTGGGAAAATCTGCATTTATACCAAGTCCATATAATTTATCATGAATTGTTATATGATTTCATATCAGTCCCTCATTTCCTCGTTCTTTTTGATAAATTAAATGATTTATCAATTTTTTTAAAATAATGGTGTGCTAAAATGTCTTGCCATTTGGCCCATTAAACATCAGAAATGATGGCACAAAGGGATCCACAAAAGTACAAACCAATACAATCTGCTGTTCCTGGAACTACTTTGGGTCCAATCCAGATTGATGCTTTCCTTGGATGAGGGGTATGCATTATCAGTTCATTGCCTGAACTTCATCCTACCTCCTTGGCATAATGTTTCCCTTTTTACAAGAACCTTTTGAAGCTTTCTTTAGTCACCTGGATAGTTCTAAACCAGATAAATTAGTTTTAGCAGTACTTGGCTATTAATTCTTTCATAATACCAACAAGTCTTTTGTGGCAATGTCTTCCTGTAGAAATTGTATGATACACCAGGGGTTCATCTTCACCGTAGGTAAGCAGCAGTAGTTCACTCTGAAGATTTACCTATCCTCGCTCCTCAGAGTCGGCTCAGAGGCCAATTATTCCTTGTACGTTTCATCTGAAAGATCCTTGAAGCACTTTTAACTTCTTTATATGCTTTCTTCTTACTATGTTCCCCGGGGTTGCCAGGTTGCCTCCAAAAAGGGGATGGCAGGGACATTCAATACCAACGGCTTAATGGGTTCTCAATATTTTGGGGTGGCCTTGTCAGAATTGATATCTTGAAGGTCCTAACCTTTTAGTTTCATGTATATTCAGTTACGAGACTGGTTGTCATTGGTGTGCACTGTCTTCTTAATCTCTTCATTCTTGAAGCTTTTAGGTTCTTCCAGAGACATGTTTGCCATTTTATGGTCCAAAGAGGTTGCCAATTCATGCTGTACCTACTGATGAAGCACATGAATTTTACAAGGTAATTCTGAGACTACTGTTTTTCCCTTGGAATACCACATTTAGACCAAATATACCACATTACTAAATAGTTAGTTGGCGGTAATCGAATTCTATGTGTGTGTGTGTGCATGCCCTTCTGAGGTAATTGCATTGTGTGTCTTGAACACTGATTCAAGTTGCAAAGTCTCTCTCAAGCTATAACATGAAACTGGCCATCTTAAATTTGAATGGAGAATCTGAGGGATCTGACTGATAATGTTTCATCTCAACAAAGAGGCATCTGTTATCAATAGATGACTTGCATAATTGCCACAGAAAGAACTTGGAGTTCTGTTGACACCGCCAACTGGAAAAGATAGAGCTGCTGAATGGAGAGGACTGGAGACGGTGCAGCAATTGCAAATAAACTTCGAGGGTGCAGAAAGGTGCAATTCTAGATTATATTTCATAGTGGTATCTCTTTAGACATATTGAACTCAGCTGCTGTTAGAAGATTGTAGTTTTGTTATGCATGAGAGGAATTATGGAATTTTTAGCTCTTCTCAGAATTCTTGTTATGGTTAAACTTGTGGCAAATTAAAGCTATTTGTGTTTATAATTATTTGCTTAATTTGAAATCTGTCTACATTTGTTGCTTGGACAGACCTGCCAGTGATGTGGCTATCTCAGGGCTCGGTTGGATTACCATTGAACCGAAATGCAAGTCTCTTGGAGTATCTGAAAGTAATTTTGCAGAAACAATCAAAGGACTGCATTTTGCAGTCCATGTACCAAAACCCGTTGAGATTTTCGTTAGGCCTTCAATACCTGTAGGTAAGGCCGGAGCAGAATGGTACCAATATCGCGAGTTAACAGAAAAGGAAGAAGAAACAAGAACGATGTGGTACTTTTGAGGGCTTTCTTATTACATGTTTATTTATTTTGTATGTGTTTAATTGGCAAGATATTGGTTGTAAACATGAGAAATGTTCATGATGTATACACAATGAAACTGAGAATACAGAGAGGGAGCTTGTTTGTTCAAGAAATTTTGTATGTAGAAATTTCAACCATTTAAAATACTATTCAGTGCTGATAAAGTAGAATATTTACTTGTTTCTTTTGAGATATGTTGATTGGGTTAGATTGGGAATGAGAAATTGGCCTGTTTGCCGATGTGTTACTGTTGTGTCATACCGGCATTTTTATACCATAAAAGATGTACTATTAACTAGGGGTGAGTATTTAAATGAGTCGAGTCAAGTTAATTTTTTTTAAATTAATCGAGTTAACGAGCATTATTTTATAGCTCAATTTTTATTTAAACTTTTTTAGTTGAATTTATAAAATTTGAGTTGAGTAACTCAAGTTCTTGTTTAAATTTAATTTTAATTGTAAAAGTAAATAATGTTATAATATTAATTGATTTCAATTTGTTTCCAGACATTTTAGAAAAAAAACTTTTTATAATCATATATGATATACATATATATTTCTTCCTATTTTTTTACATATTATATACATATATCCTATAGAGTTCAAGGACTAACTCAAACTTGAAAACAAATCCATTAATTACTAAAAATTTCAAGTTATTTCCTTTATTTGATTTTCTTTTTAAGTTGAGTTTATAAAATTAGAAGTCCTTAGGAAATGCTTTAATTGAGGATCAAAGCATGCCAAGGGAAGTAATGTGTAGCGTAGGGCACCATTTTGGTGATTAAACTACAATAGATCTTAGTGGTGGGTCAGAACGGATGGATGAATTGTTGATTCATCCTTCCTTCGATGATGGTCCAAAGGAAGAAACGAATAAGGCGATTTAAGCAAATTATACAATCACGAGAAATGTTTATTCTGTAGATGTTAGGATGACAATCTTCTGGGCCGACTAGCTCAGTTTTGAGTTGATCCATAAAGAAAAAGAGAAACATTATAGTGTTGAGTGCAATAAAGGCTTTCCCAGAACAGGAGATTGAGAGTTTGGTTTGGCTGCAGTGAATTTGTTGTGTGGATGATCCATTTTCCAAGATTCCCAATCAAGTATTTGCAGTAGTCTTTGCCTCGATATGATTTCTAACATTGGAGCTCAAAAAGTTAAGCAGCTTGCTTAATCGCATCCATAATATTTCATTCCTTCATCCCAGCTCTGTAAAGATCATCAACAGAAGAAAAAACAGAAATGCTGCAGCTTATGGTCATATAAAATAGGTCAACCAGAATACAACATGCATATTTGGGCCTAGACCATGACAAATAACATACGTGTGAGCGCACACACACATTAAATCAGCTACAGCGAAGAAACAGACTGCAGTTTGATTAAAAATACATTCCACTTTAGCACAAGATATATCTAGACACTTTAAGATGTATCTTTCATATCTATGCGGTGTATGAAATTCCAAACCATTTTAGGCTTGACATTTCCTCCCCCAACACAGATAAAAGGGTCAGCTAATAACACGACATTTTAGCCTGCTCTTAAATGATTATTCATGTTATGGACAGAAGGGGTGTTAGGGTGCGATCGCGCACTCTGAAAATTTTCAATTCTTATATAATTTAGGTATTTTCTTTATATTTTCTATTGATAATCTATTTTCACATCCCATTAAATTTTATAATTTTGCACCCCTAAATTTCTAATATAAATTCTTAAGTCCACACCTAGTATAAAACCCTGCATCTGTCCCTGATATGCAAATATCCCTTGAAATCCCAGTAGCTCACGCCTTAGAGAAGTGATAGATAACAACTATGTCTCATCAAAAGTGTGCCTAGGTGCACTAGGCGTGTGCCTGATCAAATATATGCCTCATCCGAAAAAGTCTGAGGTGCTTTCATTGTCCGGCAGTAAGGCGCAGCACCTAGGCAACTTGGGAAAAATTCCATGACAACACTGTTCCTAACTAAAAAAGTCCTTTAAATATTGAGCTAAACGACATAATTAAGTACTAATAGTCCAATGATGTATGGCTGCAACTTGGAAAATCATTCATGTTTTCCAGGTTCAAGGAGCTGTGTCAGATGGCAGATCAATTCTGGCTTTTACTATTAGTTAGTTAACAAGTATACCTGAAGAAGATATCCGTGTAGCCAATCTAATGTCTGTGAAAATGTTGTCGCTGATACATTTACAACCGTTAAACCCTGTTCCAAAAGACAAAGACGTAGGACATGAAAAAAAATCCAGAAAGTTCAACAACAATTCAAGTTCAAACATCTCTAACGTAAGAAAATTAGAGAGTTGAGTCAAACCAGACCTCTAAAATTAAAACAAGTGGGAATAGAAAATCTCTTTCGATTTGCTTCCACTCCATACTAAATACCATACCAAAAATTTAAAATACATAAAATGATGGGGTAATCCAAGAAACTTGAAGAATAAGCATACAATGAACATATAGTACTCTAATGGTTTTCAATTTAGAATTAACCAAAAAAGTTAAATTATTCGCAAATCCTGATAGATATCTTGATATTGGAAAGATGAATTATCGTACTGTGACATGTCTTGATATTGCTTATCCAGTAAACGTGCAGGGCCATTATTGGGAGGTTGAACAATGGTGTAACTTGGTGAGCTTTATCTCTCCCTATTCTTTGTCTAAAGATTCCAGTGATATTTTACTTTGGAAAGGCAGTGGAGATGGTGTTTTTTCAGTCAGCTCTTGTATTAAAAGTTGTGCTTCAGGATCAGATGATGTTTGCTTCTGGAATAACATTATTTGGAGAGGTTTGGTACCCCTAGAGTTGAATCTTTAATGTGGCAGGTTGTGCTTGGCAAGCTAGCTGTTAAATCCGAACTGATCAAAAGAGGGGTTCAAGGTATCAAGGATGATTTATGCCCTCTTTGTAAATTGGCTGAGGAAACTTCCACGCACTTATTCTTTACATGTTCGGTTGCATGGGCTTTGTGGTACAAGTTTTATAATTTTTGGAGATTTAGTTATGTGCTTCATGCTGATGCAAAAACCTTTCTTACTGCTTGGGATGAGTTGAAATCAAATTCTTCTATTTGGGCTTTCACTCCTGGGGCTATCATTTGGACCATTTGGAAGGCCAGAAATTTTATTGTCTTTGAAGGGGGAAAGCTTGATCAGTTAGAGTTATTTTTCTTATCACGAGTTAGGCTGGCTTCTTGGTTTCTAGCTAAGCACAAGGACGTTTCTATTCATAAGGATTCCTTGATTATGGATCCTTCATTAGCAGATTCCTACTCGCCCTACAGCTCTATGAAGTCTTCCTCATTCCCTTGGGGACCTCCCCCTTCTGGTTTTTTTAAATTGAATGTGGACGCAGCCATTAGTAGTGACTGGAAGAAATCAGGTATAGGAGGTATTTGGAGGGTTCAGTCCTAGGTTCTTTTCAAGAGCCAGCTGGTCCGAGACCTCCGACTATGATTGAACTTAAAGCTATTCAGAGGGGTATTTCATTATATGCTTCTGCTCAAGGGAGAGTCAAAGATAGGCTGATTGTTGAGAGTGATAGCAGGGTTGCAGTAGACTGGATCAACAATGTTAATTCATGCCCAGGTGTTTATGCTTTCGTTGTTAGTGATATTGTTGACAATCTTAGATCTTTGGGGGGGGGGGGTTATAAATTGGGTTGCTAGGTCAGCTAATATGGACGCCGATGCTTTAGCAAAGGCTGGAATAGGCTAATTTTTATGTTGTTTGCTGTTTCAGTTTAGCATTTGATTCCTGTTCGGGTGGGATTTATTTACTGTTGTAAGGGTTATTTCGAAGAGATTTATCGAGGTTGTAATCTTATTTTCTTTTATGAAAATCTAAGGCGCTCTTTTCCTCCTTCCAATGATTAAGGAGCTTTCAAGATCCATTAATCAAGAAGGAGGTTTTTAATGAGGCCTTCTAATCTTATCAAAAAAAAAAGTGCTCAGAGACGTGAAATTCTATATAACAATCATATGAGTAAGATATTGCTATCCAGATTTGGATTGGGCATGATGTAAGGAAGATGCGAAATCTAATTCAAGATATTGTGTTTTTATGAGGGGGAAACTTGATTTCATGGAAGAGTAAGAATCCAAAAAAAAAATAAGTTCGTGAGTGAAATCATATGAGTATATAAGTTCTTCAATGATGTAGGAATTAAGGTTTCAATACCCATAAAGGTATAGTGTGATAATCAAACTGCACCCAATATTGCTTCTAATCCAATCTTTCATGAACGAACAAAACACATAGAGGTTGATTGTCATTTTATTTGCGAAAAGATCCAACAAGGTTTTGATTACTATCGACTATGTGAAAATTGAAGGACTAGGACATATTTTCACAAAGATTCTTAACAGGGTCCAGATTGATTTTTATCTAACAAGTTCGCATGAATAATATATATGCTCCAACTTGATAAGGAATGTTACAGATTTGTGGGCTAAATCTTAGGAATGAAATATTGTAATTAATGTAGGATACTACATTACCTATTATAGGAGCTTTATACTTGATTATATACCCGTACGATTGATGAATAACATACACAAGATACTAATTGGACAGGAATAGGATCTCCCTTAAATAGATAGTCTACTTCAGGAAATTATGCTATCGTTGGGGAAAATCTAAAGTCTTGGAAGAGTAAAAAGTAAGATGTTGTGACAATGTCAAGTGGAGAAACAAAATATTGAGTCATGGCCGAGTTACTTGTGAACTTATCTGGTTGAGAGAATTACTTAGGAATTATATATATATATATGAAACTAGTCTAGTGAAGTTGATATTGATAATCAAACAACATTGTATATTGTCTCCGATCTAATGCTTCATGAAAGAACAAAACACATAGATCAATTGTCATTTTGTGAGACAAAAGATTGAGTCAGGATACATTATCTAAAACAAAACTCGACTTGAAAAATCAATCTTTTTCACTCGACTAAAAAAAAACTTCAAATTCAACTTATAAAATAGAACTCGAATAACTCAAATTTCTTAGTAATTATAAGATTGATTTTCAAGTTTGAGTCAAGTTAAATGTTGATGCGGTTACTACAAGAGATTGGAAGAAGAGTGGGATAGGAGGTGTTCTAAAGGACTCCTCGGGTTTGACTTTAAGTTCTTTCAAGGAATCTGCTGGTCCGGGACCTCCAACTTTTATGGAATTAAAAGCTATTCAAAAGGGTCTAATGTTCTATGCGAATTTACGAGACAGGAAGGGTCGTCTAATTATTGAAAGCGACAGCAAAGTTGCGGTAGACTGGATTAAGAAAGAGGATCTAGTTCCTGATGTTTATGCGTTTTTTATCAAAGATATTGTTCATAGGCTTAATGTTTTAGAAGGTGTTGTAAGATGGGTTTATAGGCCAGCCAATCTAGAGGCTGATGCCTTACTTAAAGAAGGAATTGGCTGATTCTATTCTAGTCTTATATTTCGGGTGTTTTATGGTTGTTTCAAGTTTATTTGGTTGGTGGGGTGTATGATGGTTGTATCTTATGTAATTTTATGGTTCAATAAAATCCTAAGGCGCTCTTTTCCTCCTTCCACTGATTAAGGAGTTCATATAAACTCCATTAATCAAGAAGGGGGTTTTTAACGAGGCCTGAAATTCTTATAAAAAAAAAGTCAAGTCATCAATTCTATATGATATATGAATATCACATATGAAAAAATATGAAGAAATATACATGTATTGTATATAGTTATAGAAAACCATTTAAATTGAAATCAAATAGTTCTATAATATTATAAATAATTACAATTAAATTTAAACAAAAGTTAGAACTTGACTCGACTCAAAAAAATTCAAATAATGTTTTGAAATTTCAAAAAAATCTATTTTAACTAAATAATTTTATATTCATTGAAAAGTAATTTACTTGTATCGATAACACAATAGTTTTCAGGTCCAGAAGGAATATCTGTCCCCATTCAGAAAAAAGTTGAAAAGAATTGCACAAATGTTACATTTTGCTTCAGTCTCTTCCCAATCCGAAAACATTTTAAGATTTTTGTCAGTAACCTTTTTCCTTTGCTTTTCTCGAATGGATTTTCAGACCACGAGATGTGTTCCGAAGATATAGTATACCCACATGCAAACAGAATGTGATTTGAACACTTGTATACCATAAAAGAAAGGAAGATTAACATTTAGAAATTGCTTTGAGCTTTCGAATTGTACCTTAATTTCTTTGTTGTTAACCTAGAAGCTCCACGCAACTGTTGGAGCAGATGAACCAGGCTTATATGATTTGGGTTCTAAGACCCTAAAAGCTTTAGAATAATTTTATAACGAATTAATTATCCAAATATTTTAGGATATTAGAATAAATCTTTTAATAAAAGTTCCACATATGTAAATTTATTAGGCCATGTATCAGCAGAAAATGTCACATAATAGAAAAAACTTGACCGAAAAAGATTTGGAGTAACGGATAGTTATGTGGTAGAACAAAATAATTGAAGGTTAAAAAACGGTAAAAATAGACATGATACAAAATGTTACAAAAAAAAACATAATATTTTAGGTTAGACGCAACTTAAAATGTTAAGTTCTTCACAACATTTTAGGTTGGACGCAACCGAAAATATTCAACCTACAATATGTGAAACCTAAAATGTTGTGCTTTTTGATAATATCTTCAGTTGCATCCATTTCCGTCGTTTTTAACCTTAAATTAGACTATTTTTCTTTTACTTTCGCTAGAGTCTATTTCCGTCATTTTTTAACCTTAAATTAGACTCTCTCTTTTTTTACTTTCGCTGGAATAGCTTCTGTAAAAAGAATTAATTGAATAAACAAGAGGATGGGAACAAATGTTTCATTCTAACAACCAATAAACAGACCATAAATGACATACCTGTGACTTGAAAGAGCAAAGATAGTTTTGGATAGTCTTCAAGTTCGTTATTAGACTCTCTGTATCCTACAAAAGAAAAAATAACAAATGAGGTTAAAAAAAATCAATGAAATAAACAATGACAAACGTCAATGTAGAAGAAAAGGAACTGACAGTAAGCAAAAGGAAAATTCAAGATATCAACACGCCCACTTTTGACCACAAAAAAATGAAGCAAAATTTTTGCAGACATGGACATGGTTAGAAGGTGTCATCTCACGCCTTAGAATGCCTTGTTAAACAATCCCAATTTGACAAAGGTATCAAAACCTATATTATACAATTATTTGTTCTAAATGGACATTTAAATATTCTCTAAGGTTTTCCGTGTCTTCGGAGGGTCATCTTCTCGAAATCTGTCGCTCATAGGTTTCAGGCACGGGTACTTCAAAAAATGAAGAGTTGAAACAACATAGATCAAATGACATTTCTCTAGCTTTTGAGAATTATGGATAAGTTAAAAAAGTATAAAAACCCAAGTGATTGCATTCGGAGTGAAATAAAAGGAGTAAAAAAATACCAACAATTTGACAAGACAACTGTACTTGAGATTTGACACTATTCTAGGCAAGCTAAAAATAAAGCTTCAACATATCTAAACAAAGATTATAGTACGAAATTATTAACAGAAAATTCAAGGGAAGGAAGTACATGAATTTGATTATTTTCAACCATATTTCCAAGATCCATTATCCACACACACACAAAAGGAAGTCGAGGCTTATTTCTAGAATCAAGCTGTACAACCCAGTACTTAAAACTAGCCCTTTGTTAGAGAATGACTATTAACGTTCAAGATTGAGGAAGAAAACTACAAATCAACCTAGCTATCAAATTAAAGATTCTCCATGATAGCAAGCAATGCCCACAAAGCTTTTTATCAAATGGAGTTATCTTTCTGCCAAGACAATAATAACTTGACCTTAAAAAAGCAATGCAGTTCGTGATGGAACAAGAAAGAAGAATTGTTATTAATACCTGGACTGGACATTTACCACCTAATGTATGAGTAGCGATTCTCTCCTCTAGTAATGCCTGCATATAGATGTTGAGTTGAATTTAGAAAATCATTTAAGATTGAGAAAAGAGATCATATTAGGGAGCAGGAGAAATACAGTCCCTATTAAAGAAAACCACCTTCATAATATCTAGAATAACCATACACGAACCTGATTAAATCTTTTATCAAATGACACCTTCGTACTATCAAGAATAACAGTCAAACGGACCCATCCGTTTATAAATTTTCATTTGGAATAGCCTATCCACCAAATGGAATCTTCCAATTAATCTCCACAATTCACTAAATGAACCATCCATACTCTTGAGAATTCAAAATCCTTAACAAGTTGTTTTCCTCTTTGTATAAATAAAGTTTCTAATAGTACAGGTTAATATCAGAAGAGAAAGATTTAGAAAGTGAATCAGAACCATAACCAGCATTGTATTTTTGCAGAATGTGAATATTAATACGTGTCTCCTCCATTTGCTCAGTTTAGCAATTTGGGCCATGTTATTTTCTAATACAAATTTAACGCATGCACATCTATAAGCTTCTGTGCTTTACTAGTTAAAGCTGGATATAGAAAAGGTAAAATGAGAAGCAACCATACCTTGTGATCAAATTCAGACATCTTCAGAACTATCGGTATTACTATTGGCTTAGGGCCAGATTTTTCTTTGCTAGCAGTATTTCTATTTCCTTCTGGTACCTTAACAGATTCACCTGCACAAAGACAATCACTGTTAATAAATAGTCATATTGCACCTTCACATAGCCTCTAAAACTGACGCATACAATACGCTTAAGATGGCATGAGATGCCATACCAAATACAAAGAATATACAGTCGAAATCCACCTTTACCACCAGAAGCAGTTGCTAGAGCGATCGACTTTATGGATTCTGAGACTTTGTTGACCTTGGCAACTGACACATCTTCAGCCACATGCACAGGATGGTCTTGGCCATTTTCTGTATTACTTTGAGAAGTAGTAGTTAAATTATTTTCCGTTTGCACTGCAGATTTATCATCTGATGCCATGGACAGCAAGGATGGTCCATGTTCAGAGGTTGGAGTTTTAAGCTCATCATTGATTAAATAAATGCTAGGGTCCAAATGTATTCCCTGTTATTGTCATAAGAAAGAAGAAACCCACTAACTCAAAGTGACTCGCATTAAACTGCACAAGAACATGCCAATGCCATGCAATGACCAATGGGGGGAAATGTCATATAATGCTAAAGCAGATTAGAAGCTTCTTCAAGGTTTGCAGTAAAAATATGAACATATCCAAAGGCAGTCCACACATTCCAGAAATAAATGCAGCTCTAAAGGCATACAGTCATACTCCAGAGAAATCAATATTGCTAGATCATCTTAGTAATTGTCACGTTCATGAATTCGCAGACAACAATAATAATAAAAGTCAACCAAACTATTACAATTGAAGCTCAGATTTGATCTAAAATAGCTGAAAATACAACAGAAGCAACAAGTACAGAATGTGTTCACGAGTAAAATATCATGGAAAAGAAACCCGTAACCTGCTAGAGCCCATGCTTTTTTTAATGTGCATACTCAGAAATTCATGTCCATACCTTTCTTAACGAATGCTACAAAAACAGACAACTCCAATTAATCTATTTCCCAGCAACGTTATACAGCCACTTTAAACTGTTTGATTTTATTTCCGACATAGAACTACAGTATATGAATAAATTAATAAAGGGAAAGAAATAATAATTAATATGAACCACAAACACTCAAAAACGTCCACCATATAGGCATGCATATAGCACATGCTAATTCTTGTCTCATAAGGGTGAAATGGTATCACCATTTACCACAGATATAAAAAAGAGATAAGACTAAGAAGGAAAATCTCAAAAGCTGGGGGGGACAAGGATGTCGCAAAAAAAAAATTCAGCAATCTATCGTCAACCATACCTCGATAATAATCGGCTTTCCATCTTTCATTGCCTTTTTTAGATCTCCATTCAACCCTAGGAACCAAACACAAGCCAGTTAACAAAAACCTTTAGAATACAATGAAAAATCTAGAAAGAAAGAATATTTATGTCATATGTCCTCTGTTTTGAAAATCGGACCGGATCAACTTGTTCAACCGGTTTAACCGAGAACAATTGCTTAGTCAGTTTAATTTAAATCGATTAAACTGTTATGTGAACCGGTTAAAACCGTTGAACCGTTCGAACCGGATCGGTTGAAAACTAAAAAAATTCGGGAAAAACCGAAAAAAACCGGGATTTTTGTTTTTTTTAAAAATAAACCAAACAACATCGTTTGTTAAACGAGCCAAGTCGAACTCGAGTATTGCTGAGCTCGACTCGAACTTGAAAATTTTAAAAGTAAGCTCAACTCAACTCAAACTCACAAGCTAAAAATTATCAAGTTCAACTCAAACTCGAAATATAATATTGAAACTTGAACTCAAAAAAAAAAATTAGAAACTCGATTGAAGCCTAAAATTCGAGCTTGATTGAAGTGAAAGAATAGTTCACTCAATGCTCACCAAAAGACTCCATGATTTTGAATGCTAAATTACCTCTATTATTTATAGAAGTTAGTTGTGATGCGCTTCTATGTTTCTTAGCAATGTGAGATTGTTTTGTTCTCATATTTTCTCTTTAGACTTTTGGGATGCTCTTCTATGTTTCTTAGCTATGTGGGATTGTTTTTAAAAAAAATTAAACCAAACAATATCATTTTGTTATGATTTTTTTAACCCCAAATTTATTTTTTAATTATAGTTATATAATTATATTTATTATTTAATATGTTTTACCTTAAATATTATGTTGTAGTTAATTTGAATCATTTTATTTCACTTGATTTTATGGTTTTTAACTTATATATGTTATGATTTGCTTTGAATATGACTTGTAATATAAAAAATTATTTTTTATTAAATATTTTTTTATTTTTATTTAATTTTTTAAATAATTATGACGTCGTCCGATTCTTCCGACCGGTTCAACCGGTTGAACCAATGAACCGGTAACATGACCGATTCGCTAATCGGTCCGGTTCTGAAAACCATGCATATGTCTCTAGGCAATCTCCCGTTTTTACACTAATAAAAAGAGGAAAAAATCATAATAACTAAATGGAAATTTCAGAACATACCTTTGCGAACTATCCTGCATTCACGACAAAATTCAGTAATTAACTCAGAGGAGCTAAAATTCCGTGCCCATACAGGAGTAGATGCTAATGGTGTACTGGAACAAATAAGAGAAGCAAGCATTAACATGATATATATGTGTGTGTATAAAACACCATACAATCTGTTAAAAGTAGGAAAATCTGCTTCCTAATAGACATGGTGTAAAAGAGAACATCATCAACCAAGTACAATTCGTACATGTTCTTCCAATTTTTCTTTTAATTTAATTTTGACCAATTAATTTTATTATGAACTGCTAATTAAATTAACTGAAGATTTATCAGTCCTTTGGAAATCAAGATAAAACAGTAGACAACCCATAGAGCTACAACAAGCCCAATGCTGGACATTAGCCCAACACCATACAATCCAACTAAAATGCCCTGTGAAGATAACGAAAACATTTCAGAGGTTCTAGATGCTGCTGAAAGGAACGGTGACAAAGATGGCCAAGGAATCGGATGGTTTTGCATAGTACTTTACCTGGAAGAAACGTCCTAGTTTATTATTCCATTTTCTTTTCTTTTTTTTACTGGTTACTATGCCTTATGAACGTTATGGAGTTGAGTATAATAATGTACTCTGTAATGGTGTTGATTTATGAAAATATTGAATCATTCTGTCTCTTCTTTTCTTCCTGAATTTCTATTTTCTCTAATTTCGATCCGTGACATTCAACTAATCAAAACTCATCTATGAGCCATCCAATTTATCTCTAAATTAAATTAAAATGACTTCAAGACAAACCCAAGTTTTGGCCAATCAAATTTCAAAGACCATGAGCCATAATCTATTATCTCTAACAAAATTAAACTAATTTAAAGGTAAAATTAACGAGGTTAAGTTCTATTAGAATTATCTTATGTGGCATCATCTAGTACTGTAAAAGTGTAAATAGAGAGTTCTTCCAAGCCATTTCACATACAATGTGAGGAAAGAAAACGGAAGACTTTAGGGAAAGAGAATCAAGACAATTCAGAAGATATGAAGTGAAGAACCAAAGTCTTCCGATCTTTCACAAGTCAAAGAAGATACGGAAATTTTTACTCGACGCCAAATTTCAAATCTAAGGCACTATTCAGCGAAAGTTACTGCACTTTCTTTTATCTACCTTCATCCTGAGTATCAAGTGATTGGACAAATAAATCTTGTAACCAATAAATATCTGAAGTGACACTTCTCAAACTGGAAACCGCAATGACCCATTTTGAATCAAAGCTGAATACTACCTACCATGTATAAAAACAACCCAACTGATAGATAGCATATGCGTCATGACTAGAACAAACCAATTATTGGTTGAAGCAAGGACATGACTTAATGATAGCCGTAGTCCATCCTTCTTATTCAGTCCGAATGAGTGAGATATGATCAGAAAATATCTACAGTGGATAAAAATGATTTATAACAAAAGAAATAGATTCTAGACATACTCTGTTGCTGTGCGTAGCAATTCATACACCATATCAGTCTGCAACAAAAACATAGTCAATGAGAGGAAACATGATAAAATAAAACGTAAATACTTTCAGTAGAAAAACATAACACTAAACCTGTAAGACATTTGGCAAGTTTAGCCTCTGTGCAAGTAGTGTAGCTATTGTAGACTTCCCAACACAGGCAGTTCCACAAACAAGAATTACCAAAGGAACTCTCTGATGGTGAAATCTGAAAGTTAGAAACAAGAAAAAACAATTATTACTGAAATGCTGAAACACTCAGTAGTTCCTTACTTAGTTTTGCCCTCCTACATCAAGTCAGTAGCAACTTATGAATCAATGAAAAAGTTGCATGCACAATCAAAATTGAAATTATTCCAATATTACTTGTCTTTATGATCATTATATTAGAATGAAAACATACATACCTACAAACCAGTAAACTCTCTAGCATAATAAAATAGATATTTACTCACAAAGGAGAAAAATTGTTGTTATACAGAACAAGCAACCACAATTATCTCACCTTCCAAAAGGAGGGTAAGGTTAGTTGACGCTGAACATGTGATAAAGAAGTTCAAAATATAAAAATGATTCCAGAATCAGCGTTATAATAACTTTGGCATCATATTGAAAACTTGAAAAGCTAACTGAACTGACCTGGTCATCATCTTGTACCGGTTTACATAGGCTAACCCATAACCTCGCCGTTGCATTAGCTGCACAGGAAATTTGATTAGAAACTTCCACATAAGTACATTCAATCTCCAAAAAATCTGATACCCTCTACTTTTCATCGATGGAAAAATTCACAAATTTTATGAAGAATACCTTAAAAAGATTAGCCTCTAAATCGGATTGTGAGCTGCGGGGAAATTCAATGAACAGAACAGTAATAAAAAAATACTAGATAAAAAACATGAACTAAAATAGAAAGACAAGGGAATCATACATATCTAAAAGGCTGTTGTCTATTAGCAGCTTCTTGAGCTCAAGAGCGATTTTAACAGCGACATGATTCGGAATCTGAAATAGCAATGACATAGCGTTAAATATATATAATATATATGGAGAGAGAGACAACACTAAGCAATCCAAGTTAGCATATACTAAGAAAAAAATTAAATTTGTAAAAAAAATCAAATCCGAAAAATGGAATAGGTACCTTCGTGACGGTTAACATTCTGCTAAGCAGAAACCTGGATAAAACATAATAATGATCCGCATTTTCGCCTAACCATACCTTCACCTGCAACGCCAAGAAATGAAAAAAAAAACATATTAAAATTGGAAGATATAAATTAAAAACAAATTATTCCAATGGAATTCCGATAAGAGAGGGAGAGAGAACCTTGACGAAGTCATATTTGGAAGAAACGTTACGAGGACTGAATTTTCCGGTGGGGGTAGATATCGTAATCTTGTCCTCGTCTTCACCTGCGTCGCTTTGATTGATCTCGACTCTTGTTCGCACTGCAATTTCCTTGCCCTTGTTGTTGTTGTTCATCGGCTTGTCACATTCTCTCATTTTTTTCTCTCTTTTTCTTTTCCCCTTGGTTTCAAGGATCAGAGCTTCGAATGCCCTTCCCTCGCGTTAAAATTCTGCTACTGTCTATTTCATGGGTATCTTCCGCGCGTCCGCGCCTTTGCCATCTCATCACTCAGCTTCTCTGATTCTTTGTCGCTTTGCCGCTTGGTTTTTTTGTTTATTATTTTTCATTTTGAAATTAAAGTCAAAGCTGCCGGAAAGTCCAAATTCGTTAATTAACAAAAAACAACTATTTCTATTTAAATGATTGTCGCAATTATTACTATTATTATTATTTTGTTTATTCTTGAACAAACATTTTCACAATATGTAAGTACTAGTGGCGTATTTTTCCCCCTACGATGAATAAGGTTTAACTGTTGTTTTAGTCTTCTTATATTGTTTAAATTTATGATTTAATCACCCTACATTCATTTGCATAATTTAATCTTTATACTTTTATAATGTTATTATAGGTCCTTGTATTAACGGTTAATTGATAACAATATTATTAGTATTATTTGATTAATGAAAATCCATGTCACTATTTTGATAATAATAATTAACAATATTTATCAATTTCTTCCCGAGGAGATGAAAGGGAATTTTAGTCCTAATGGCTATTGAACCTACAAATTATGGAGAGAATGTGTCAATCGAAAGTTTTTTATCCTTTATTCGATAGATTATGGACGATGAAAGCATAATTTGAATGGAAGTGGCGCATGAAACAAAACTGTTACCTATCTATCTATCTATCTATCATATTAGAGTAATTTAATTCGATTCTTGAATTTTTTATATTATTTTTGATTTTTTAGACTTAATTTATGATTTTATGACATTTGGTACTTTTTATAAAAAAATCATAAATATTACTTTTAAATTATTTTACTATTTGAAGTAAATTAATTTAATCATAAACTATTCATCTAAACATTTGGATTCGACTAGAATTTTTACTTTCTCGGTTCAACCCCACTCACAGTAGGGTAACATAACATTAAAAGTATAAAGGTAGAAATAAAGGAAAGATTTAATGCTCTTTACAAAGTACAGACATTAAAATTCCAGAATGCAGATAAATTAGGTGTTTTCCGTAAGGGTACCTCAACATTTGACAGTCAGATGAGGAGACCCTCTGTTTGTCTGCTTAGCTAGCTTATACTTGCTTATTGGTCTCGGAGAAACTATTTATATTACAAAATAAGTTGGAACTAGGGAACACCAGGCAGTGAAATTCTGCACCTCATGTCCTCTTGAAGAACCTACCACCTCTCTTTCCCATGCCGGTTCCTGCAAGGCTCAATACAAGCAGCGATTTCGCATCTGGTCTCCACCTCAACTCTTTAAGAATAGCAAACAAGGTTGCAAGTGCAGTAGATATGTCACTTTCCTTTATGTTCTTGCATGATACCACTGTAAGACTTTCGAGGTCCTGCCAGGAAAGAATCACCGCTTCCATACCTTCGGTCGTCAACAAGGAGCATCCTTCTAAAGATAACAACTTTACTCTCCTGTGCCAAAAGAAACCAGCTACTGTAAAACACTCAATCAAACGCATTTCAGATATGTCAACTTTACTCTCCTCTGACAAAGAACCTAACATGAACTACAATCACATATTTCAGCTACGAATCCAAAACAAACCTTCTCATATATTTCTCAATAACTAGTTACCCAGTAAATTGTAAGCAAAAAAGGTATTTACCCGAAAGGTACATGTTAGTAGGTGGGATTGGGAATTTATGAACAGAAAGAAGCATTTGTAAAACACATGATTTCGTTTATCCAGTCCAGCCTAAGAACCTGAATTTAATCGATCACCTGTGCATTATAGATAGCATATTACTAGAACAATCAACAAATGGCTCATCATTGCAACACGAAGCAACCCATTGTTCTTCATCTTTTAGGCCATGTCAACGGGTACAAAAGAATTCCGGAAGTGAAATATACAAACTAAATGATTCCTTGGCCAAATCTATATTCCATGAAAACACAAAATGAGACAAAAAAAATATGCAAAGCAAGTCATAAAGAACTAAGTAAACGCAATCCAGTACCTGCAAACACTTGCAAACCTGAACATATCATTATCAATCCCCAGCAGTCCTGAATAACAATCTCTCTAACAGTTTCACACACTCTAAAAGCGCTCCCACACTCTTCTTACTCCGCAATTGACACTTCTGCAAATGCAACCGCTCGAGAGCCCACAAAACCCCAAATACTCATCCCGGCCTGGACTCCAATCAATCCTCTTACAAGACAACAACTTCAAAGTCTTCAAGTTCTCACAATAAGACAACCCAGCCAACCATCCATCATCCATTTTATGATCACAAATAGTCAACTCTTCAAGCATCAAACAGCATTGTCCAATCGCTTTAATCCCTTCAAAACTCCCTTCACATCCATTAAGCTCAAGCTTAACCAACCTTTTACATCCTTGAGCTAAGATAGTTAATCCAATGTCGGTAACCATCGAAGTATAAAGTCCATCCACGTTTGCAACGAGTTTCAAGATCTGCAAATTCTCACAGGCCGCAATCCCACGTAAGACGTTGTCGTTACACTTGTGTAACTCCAGTTCTTGCAAAGTCAAACACTCTTCAGCCACTGTTAACAACCCAAACTCACCGGCATTAATAACCACAAGTCTTCGGAGATTTGGACAGCCATTGGCAAGAGCTCGCAGCCCTTTGTCAACAACTTCGACAGGCAAAATATTCTCTTGCAAGAACTTGCAATTTGGACAAAAGCCAGAACTCATTCGCATCGAAACCAGCCGATGAGTTAACAGAATCCCAGAATCTCGCGGCGAAAAGAAACAGCCGTTGAGTAAATCCACGTGGGTTAAGTTGGGGAACCTCATGAACAACCGGGCCGATTCGAGAAAATCCCAATCCAGGATCTTCAAGGACCGTACAAGGCGGCCCTGGAGATTGAGCCACCGCTTGCAGACGAGGGAGTTAGGGTTCCGTTGCGAAAGGGGCAGCCTTGAGAGGATATCCAAGAGGAGCTCGTCGGACAAGAGAAGGGTTCGGTCAATGTTGGCGAAATTGGGGATTAGGGTTTGGGATTTGGGTTCTTTTGAAGATAAAGACTGTAGCGGCATAGTGAAGACCACATGCTTTAACGGCTTGGTGTTTCTGAGCCAAACGTCTGACCATCTCGGTGGCTTCTTCTTCAACGGCGAATCTACATTTTCCTTCAAAGCCGACATCGCTTCAGTCAACGCCTTCTTCTTCTTCTTCTGCCACTAAACCTGACTCGTTTTGCCTACTTCACTGAATTACCATCTCCATAATTTCCTGCAAAAAAAGGGGGGTAGTTTTTGAAATCCCGTGAAATGAGTTGAGATTTTATATACTTTTGGGGTGGTTTGGGGACAGAGATAGATGATGATCTGCGTTTCAGTTCAGTCTAGTCTGAAGAGTCAAAAGCCTAGACTGCACTGCCTGCTGTTGGCTAACGGATTTCTTGAAGCGGTGGGGTCGGGATTTTTTTGAATCTTAAACTTCCTTCTTTTCTTTTTGTTTTTATTTATGATTTTGATAATTTGTTGTTATCTAATCTGCTATAAAGCTTTTTGGGTACTACTTTACGCTTTCTGAAGAAAAAAATTTGGATAGCGTTTCATTTTAAACCCACCAAATAGATACAATATTTTATGTGTTAGAAGTTTTGTAAATGTATTTTTTCTAAAAACAATGTACATATCTTTATTATGCATGGGTTTTAATCTTTAGATATTTTATTTATTAAAGACTATCTAAATAAATAAAATTAAAATAATTGAAATTTTAAAAACAAAAGATTACGATAATTGTTATTTTCTTTAAAATCAATTTAATTTATAAGTTTGGTAAGGGACGAATATAATTTCTTATATTAGGAGAGTAAATTTCTTAACTCTAAAGAGTGTATAAATTTATAAAATTCTAAAAGATAAAAACATATTATTAATTAAAAATATAAGTAATTATCTACAATATATATATATATATTAAATTAAAATTTTAAAGTGACAATTACTCCTATTCACCTCTTGAATACATCCTATTCGCGAGTCTTCCTTTGATCCTTTTCAACAAGTTGGAAATGAAGCAGCTATGTACAATAGGTGAAGATTTCCTTCTCGTGTCTCCTTCATATTCTAATGATAATGGCTCAAAACAGTTGGATCTGTAATTAATTCGTCCCCACCTGCATACATGATCAAAGATAATACAGCACTTCTGATATGTGCATAAATTATTGTAAACAATTTCTTTAATTAAAAAGAAATAACTTCACAATTTAAGTGTGTATCTTGAGTGGACCGACTATTATTAGTAGTAAACGTGGATCTAAGATCAAATTGGGAAGAAAATTAAATTAATCTATTTAACAAATATTATAATGTCATTTTAATTTTATTTAATTATTTATATCAAGTCAAATAGATTTGAAAAAAATAAGATTATATATACTATCGAAATAAAGATTTTAATGTGATGGAATTTAAACTTAATCTCATAATTTAGAACTTTTTAAAAAATCAATATTTTGGTTTTATTTTTTACTCAAATAAAAGCAAACAATGAAAGTCGACATGACACGAGCACTCCCAAAACATAAATGGTTTTACACAACCGTCAATATATTGGACATTGAAATTTAAAAAAAGGGTATAAAAAGTAGTAAGAAATAACAAAAACAAATGGAATAATAATAAATAAATCAAGAAGTAGATGAGCAAAATAGGGGCAAAGTTGCTCCGGGACTGGCAATTAAACTTTAGCCGTCCAAGGGAAACCCTACCTACATATTATTTGTCCAAGTCATTGAATCTACTTATCTGTCAGCTGGAGCAAACGCCGAACATCCATGTTACATAGTTAATTTTACACAGCACAGACAGATAAAATCTACATTCATGAATACCATGGGGGGAAGCTGGCCATCAATTGTTGCCTTACTGCAACAATTAAGAGCGGGGAGCTGCCATCTGCTGTTTCTTTATCCTCTCTCCATGCTTCACCATGCTGTACAAACAATAAAATAATTCCTATTTGTTACTCCCAAATTTTCTATTCTTCAATTCATCACATGCCTAGCCCCTCTATATTTCACATTTTTTCACATTATCTACCTTCATTATTTTCCTCATAAATTACAAGAGTTAAGACACCCTATGAACCTCTTCATATTATGGCCGACTGAGTCTGGCCTCATAACTCAACAGGGTTATGGCCTGTGAATTAGAAAGAAAGACGGATGGAAAAAGAAGAGGGGGTGGGGGCATGGAGAGAGGAAAAAATGGAGAAGCATGTATAAGTATAAACAAAAACCTGATATCATGAGGTGTGATAAATATCCATTGGGATCCTTGAGCCAATGCAAAGTCAACTAAAGTGTCCAGGCTGATTTTTCGGCTAACTGCATCCTGGAGGACAATATTACAAACAACGGAACAGCTTAGTTCACGAGTTCTTGCTTCTTGACGGACAATGGCATTACCTTAATCCCAAGGGATGTTATGCTGATTACTACAACCCCAACCCAAAAAGGGAAAAAAACTCACCATGAACACGTCAAACTCATCCATAGCTCGAAATGGGGCTTCGGTCATATCATGAAGAGCCAAAGCAAAGCATAATGTTGAGAAGGAACGCTCCCCTCCTAGTTAACAAATCATCATAGAATAGTACTGGAGTTCAACATTAATCAATTATGAAAATGCCAGACTCTTCTAACCTCTTTAACTTATAGATGATTTGGGAGTAAAAAAAGAATATTTATTTGCATTAAACAATATCCATGAAGCCACATGTAGATAATTTTCTGTAGTGATGACCTTGAAAATCATAAAAACGAATTCTAAATAGTATATGGGACCGGGAAATTTAAAAACCTGAAAGTCCTCTTGTATCACGAACAGTGTTGCTTGATGCATCTTGAGGCATTTTAACCTGTTAACCAAATGGAATCAGGAAACCCATTGTAAAATGCTGAGTAGACAGCTTAGGACTTTAAATGGGCATAGTGACCAGGCAAACATAACTAGTTTTAACCTGTTAACCAAATGGAATCAGGAAACCCATTGTAAAATGCTGAGTATACAGCTTAGGACTTTAAATGGGCATGGTGACCAGGCAAACATAACTAGCAAATTGTAAGTACGCTCGAAAGAACAAGTAGAATTTAGATAGCTTACCTCTACTGAAAGGGTCTTTTCGTCATAATCAACATTAATGTGTCCACTGATACCTTTCTTCCCCAAATGGCCATTAAATCTAATTGCACCCAACAAGAAATAATAAAATAAATAATCATAATGAAAGAAAATTAATAATTGCCAGAAGCATGATACATACTGCCAAGTCAACTCGCGTCTTAGAAGCGCTGCATTACGTTGAAATTTTTTCCTACGCAAATCAAGAGCATTTTGGCAAGCCTACAATATAACAACCAAAGCAGAAAAAGGAAAAAGATAAGAAACTTATAGCAATCTTAAAAAGGCCTTGAGGTAAGGCACCAAATATTTCTTTCAGAATTCACAATTAGGAGAAATGACATTATAATGAAACAACTATCAAATGTCATATAACATACAAAACAACCACAAAAAGGTTCACACATCACAATCCAAAATTCCAAATATTAGAAAAGATTAGTTGAGATTACAAAATAAATAACTCTATTAAGGTCTTTCTTGAATCTCTTCCAAGGCTCTTTCTAAAAATTTAGTTGGAACAAGGTTAGCCACCTTATTGTATAATAGAGACCAAATGTTCAATTCAGGGCAAATTGAACAATGGAACTTACATCTAATCTTTCTCGAAAGGCTTTATAAGTATGCAGTTTCCTTAAAATTCTACTCTCTTTCTCCAGATACAACATCCTAAGATCATCAATCGATTCTGAATATCTGCAGAAAATCAAAAGTTAACATGGAATCCAACTGCATGCAGATATTGGGGTATTTTCAAATTGAAACATCGAAAATTAACCACCCCATACCGATTGCTCTCATGCATAAGTCTCTGATTCAGTCTCTTCAGTTTGGCATCTAGTTGCTCGGTTGTACTTCCATCCATGTCATCTAAAACGTCAATTTCACTCTCAGGACAAATGACAGAAGCCTTTCTGTAGCTCTCCTGCAATGTTGCAAAATATAACATGGGCTACAAATGATAAAGACAATTCAAATTATTAGTTACTATATCTAGAAAGGCATAAATACCAACCTTACGATTCTTTTCTAGTTCCACATATTCTGCCTCCGCCTCCTTGATTTGAGGAAGAACCTTTTCTTTCATAACATTTTCGTAGTGGGTCCTATTCTGAAACAGAAACTTCAATTTCTGAATTCAAGTTCCCACACGATAGTTACATAAGTAAATGAATAAAAAGTTAATGGAGCAGAAAGTAGACCGCTTCTGCATTATTTCTCTCTTTCTCTATCTCTGTAAGTTCCTCCTCAGCTTTCTGAAAAGCTTCAACCTCCCCCTTTGTTGATTCTATGATACACATAGGGGGGGTAAATTGAATGCAAGTAAAGCCACATGCAAAATTGAACTAAACATTAAATATAGTTTACTAAAATAATACCCCCAAAATCTTCGAATGATAACCTAAGAGTTCTGGCCTTTTCTTCTGCTGCATTAATCCTCCCTTTAAGTGTTTCTAGCAACGCCTCCTTCTTCTTGATCAACATTTTGGCCTCCTAAAGACAATTCAATGAGGAAGATATCATTAGAAAAGGTTTATAACTTACTAGAATATAAGTATAAAAGCAAGGTTTGTAAGCCAAGTCAGTCATGGAACAAACTGAAATTTCTTGAAGAAGTTCATTAGTAGTCGACTCAGGCAACACACTAGCATCAACAGCATTCGACTTCTGCACATCCTCCAGTTTCATTCTCTTATTCATGAAATCACGCTCCACATCCAAGCGCCTCTTCTGCATAAGACAAGTGAAGCATGGATCGTAGGGCATACTAGCATATATGAACCCAAAAACAGATACAGACAACAAAGAGAATGATTAAAAGATAAGTTTTGGGAAGATGAAGGGAATTCTTGCCATCGGTAATTACTACACCCACGAGCCTATGCAAGGAATTAAGGCACACAGAGTCGATGAAAATGGTACAATTTTACTTTTAAAGATAGACATTATGTGCAAGGAAACACTTTTTAGACTAGTATTAAGCTTGAAAAATAATTTTAAACAGAAGGAAAAAAAATGTTATGCATCCTAGCTAAAACCAATCGATAATGGGCAGTGGAGCCAAACTTGAATATAAGACCAATAAAAACCTAAATACTTCATAACCGTGACACAATTCCTCTTAACACCCCCTATAACATGTAACTAAGTTCAACAAGGGCCTACACGTAATTGACCTTATATGAGACTAGGAAAGAATAACATAACACACCTAAGTTTTAATAGCATGTTAAGCACCCAACCTAAAACCAATTGATGATAAGTGAACAGAATATAAAACCAAAGAAAACCGAAAACTTAATGGACGTGGGATAACACCACTTAAACAAATAAAGAAAGTACATAAATATCAAAAAGTAGAAAGGTCTGTTAGCAGATTATTTTTTACCTTCTTATTATCTAGCTTCAATCTAAAATCTTGAAGCTTTTTCTCTATCTCCCTCTTCCTACTCTTGCTCTGATCAATATCTTGTTTAATATTTGATACATGACTTTCAAACTCCTTAATTTGATCATCAAAAGAACCACAAAGACGACCAATTCTAAGGTTTTTCTTTACAGGAAGAACTGTCTGAACTGAACCCCGTGAAAACCTGAGAAATCAATAAAACACCCAAGCAAATGAAAATCCATGTTTAGCAGGTGGAGATCAGAACAAGCAAAGAAATCATCGAAATTACAATATCCTGCAACCATTCCAATGCTAGGTCACTTTCAATAATAAAACCAGCACTCGATCATTCCTATGACCATTTGTTATACACATGTTTTAGCATAACTAAATCTGGATAGAATTGCTGGGCACATGAGATAGCAGTTCAATCCCATCCAACAACATGGAATTTAAGTAATCGAATGATCGTAAATTCTTAAATTTAAGTTTCACGATTACATTCATATTGAATTAAAGATGAGAACAATCTTAGATTTGAGAAGTGAACAAAATTCTTTAGGCAGAATTTGACAAGCACAAACATAAAAAACAAAATAAAAATTATAATAAAAGATTAGAGATCTTAGATTTGTGCCTTTCGGAACTAGTACAACTTGAAATCCATCTAAACACTGTAATTAAATTTAGAAACCAAATTCAATTCTCACTCCCTTAAAAATTGACCCCTACAAAGACAATAATGAACATACCAAGTAACTCTTTGAAAAAGGAAAAGACACGAAACAAGATATGAAGTTAGTTCTCGACTTACATTTTAAACCCATCTAAGGTGAAAACCTCCAACACATTCTGTATTCTTCGATCAAATGCAACAGCCCTTCCCCTGTTGTAATCTTCGACAAGAACTTGCCTCTCAGCTCTACCCTGAGAATACAGAATATGTTAGTGCTACACATAAGCCTGCAGCAATAGCTTCTTAAGAGCAAGCATGAAAAAGATTCATGGACCAAGCTCATTGCCTCCTGCTAAACTAACCAACCACTGGCATTGGATTATGATAAAAAATTTTTTTTTTGATAGAACGATAAAAGAAATTTATTAAAGAAAAGAAACAGGCATAGAGGGTTGTTAAAAACAAGTTTAGATTTAGATTAGAAATTCATGATGAAAACAAGAAATTACCACATCTACCAAAACATTGAATACAGTAGGGTTATCAGAATGTAAAAGAGATAGGGCAGTTGGGTGGTTCGTCTGAGGGAGTGAATGATCTGGTATAATCAACCTACAAAGAAAGCAGAACCAAATATCAAGGAAATTGTACAGAAAAACCAGTATTATGAAAAAAGGCTTTTTAAGAAAATTAGAATTCTCATCCTTTCACCTTGGTCTCGAAAACCGATGTATAACAATCGGAAAGTAATTATATCTTGCCTCCTTTGCACATTTTCTAAGAGCACTAGCATCCTGAGAATTTGTCACAATGAATGCATTTAGCAACTTCCCAATAGCTTGTTCAACAGCAGGAGCCCATGTATCACCATTGACTAGTGTCTGCAGCACAATAACCACAAAACTAACAACAGTTGCCAGAAAGTTGTCAAGAATTACTTAATATGGAAACAGTGATATCTAAGCTTCAATAGAACTCCTGCGAGCAAATGTTCTTTCACTATAAAAATCCCTTAATTGCCTATACCATTAACAGAGAGATCTAGAGAAAGGAATATCTGAAAAGTATTCAGCATTCTGTAGCCAACACCAAATGAACAAGCCAATCTTATATTAACAAATAAAAATTTCGTTGTTTAATTCCTACTTCCTAGGCATAGAAATGTGCTCAAAATTTTCTGTAGCAATTTTCCATCACTCACCACATGCGCACCAATTGGACCAATAGGTGGCACGGTAAATGAACGGTGATGCCTCTCAATTTCACGTAGAAGACGAAGCACTCCATCCCCACCAAAAGCTGTAACCTGTCCAAGAAAAGAAAATCAAGTTCAAAGGTGTCCTTAAAATGTTTAGGGGAATAAAAAAGCACATCATCCTCATTTCTTTCATGTAAACAAATAAATAAATGAAAAACAAGAGTTGCCCAGACCCTGTTGGCTTGATGTAGACGAAGCTCGCGAATTTGATGATCAATCTCACGCTGCTTTGTTTCATGGTACTTAATCTGTAGAAGGGAAAATGGAATAGTGATGTGAAGGTCTTCAAGACGAAATTATTTCTATAAGCTAAGAGAAATAAATCCTGAAATTACAAGAACTTGATCTGCAAAATAAAACAGCAATAAAGTCAATTTGCAAATGTCAAAACTACTCTCCACACAAATTGCACATACAAAAAAATTTGTTTTTTTATTAAAAAAACGTCATTCAGAAGTAATCAGACAGAAGAGTATCTTGAATCAATAATTTAATCTAAGAATGTCCCATAATCTTGGAATGTTATAATGCCACCTTTTATTTCCCATTATCACTTATCCTCTAAAACCTTTTTACATCTAAACTAACTCCTCTTCATACAAATTGAACATGTAAAAAAAGATTTAAAAGGAAAATTAACATCAATCAGAAGTGCTAGAATATAGAATTTGAACCAATAATTTAAGTTGAGAATGTTTGGTAATCTTTACTTGGCATGTTATAATGATGTACCTTTTCATTTTCCATTGTCACTTATCCCCTAAAACCTTTACCATCTAAACTAAATCCTTACCACACAAAATCAAGTAAAAAAATATTTTTTTTTAAATATCACTGCAGTCAGAACTCAGAAGTAATAAGATATAAGAGTATTTTTGAAGTAATAACAATTAAATGACCATCCAACTCAGTTGGTAGAGCAAAAGGTTCTGAACCTTGAGGTCGTGGGATCGAGTCCAACGGAAGGCATTTCATAATTTGGAGGTCTCCCACGGAAGCTGCTCTCAACCTGACGTTGGGGGCAACCTACTATCTTACCTCCCCCTTACCCCATTACATATGGGAATAAGGGTCAGCTAATTTTTTTTGAAGTAATAATAATTTAACTTGAGAAAGGAACCAAACCCTTCCATTTTCCATGACCATTTATCTTCTAAATGTTTACCAACTAAAGGCACCATAGAAGGTTATGTTTTGCAAATATCTAGGGTTATATTATAAAAATCATGATTAAATACCAAATAGTCAAAATGGAAAAACAAATTTAAATTCATATAAATTTTAATAATCTCTAAACTTCCCCATACGTCGTCATTAATCTTCCTCATTGCATCCATTTCTGCTGAGAGATGTTCTAATAAAGTATTTTCCTCATCCTTCAAACTGAAAGGTAAAAATATTTTGAGGGTCAAAGAGATCTAGAATAACTAAGTGGTAACAGGGGCATAAATGAACAAGGAAATGAAAATGTGAATAACCTCGCGAGCATTGTTTTGACACTATCAACAGCATATTCAAGTATTTTTATCTGTTCCTCTATTTCTGATTCCTCAGCCTGCAGAGAAACAAAAGAAAAAACATGAATCGTACCTTCCTCTGAAGTATATCAAAATTAAACAAAACATTCACCTGCCACTTTATATTAACAGATCAAACTAGTTGTCTAACAACTAGAGAAGGAAAAATAAACAAAATAAGGATCCAAACAACATAAGCAACATGGTAGAGCTATTTTCAACTGTATGGAGAAGGCTAGTCTACAATACACTGAGGACAACCCTAGTTTAACAGTTCTATGAATTAGTAAATCAAAAGGCAAAGTTTCTAAAACAAAACATCTTTCATACTTACAGTTGTTGAAATATAAGAACAGAAATTTGGAAAGAATTAATCACTAAACTTTTTATATTGCTACCAATGAAAAAGGTTAACATGAAATAGAGATAAAATTTCAAAAGCAAGTATCGGATGGAGGAAACTGGCTTCCGTATTTCTATGTTGCATGACTAAGCCGTGCTATGGTGTGCTCTTTTAAAGATGTAAACAAGATCTTATTTTTCTATGTTCTTACATGCATAAAAATAGCCATATTTCTAATTGAACTCGGAATATAGATATTCTTCACAGAATATCAAATTAAAATGTGCACACAATATATGAATATTATGTAAGAAAAAGTATACTTTAACATATATGTTATTTCAAAATGAATGGTACCGCATCAGTAGTCAAAAAGAAAATACTAACAAGTCACGTTGAAGAAAAAACAATGAAAGACCTGTGTATTTCTAATATGATTCTCCTGAATATCATGGACTTGTTCTTCAAGCATCCTAACATCATTCAACATCTTGTGGATCTGCTGAGTGCCGCGGCGATGCTCTTCTTCAAGCTCAAGCTTTTCATTTCTTGCCTATGATGAACAAGAGATGAAAATTCAGAAATCAAAAACAAGCAAACAAACAAAAACTTCAACGTAAAATCATAAATATTATGGATAGACCAATGATTACACAACATACGCATAAAAGCTTACATATAAATTATAGGATATGTTGATAGATCAATCAGAAGACAAAAAATAATGAGGAAATAGTTTGTTAAAACTCAAAATTCAGCTTTTATTCGTATTTAACTGAGACTAAACCAATCGAAATAAACAGTTGTACAATATTTGTCCTCGGTTAAATAAAAAATGATAATAAGCCTATCAACAATGTTAGGGAAAATCAAGTAATCCCCGAAGGATTGAAGCACAACATAAGACTTGTGATTCAACCAGTCTTTTGAAACAACAAAGATGGGGAACAATTGATGTACCAAGCAAAAAGCATCTCGCAGTTCATCTTTCCTTCTTCTAACTTCAGATGTTTTTTCCACCAGAGAAGCAACTTGAACTTTCTTCTTTGAAAACCGTTCGTCCAACTTCTCCAATTTCTCCTGCAAATAATAAAAATTCCATGGTCAATGAATGAGAGCTAACTTTTACTAGACTAACTAACAAAAGGGGAAAAGATAAAAGAAAACAATAAGTATTCATTATCATGACTGGGGCAGAAAATGTCACTCTAACCAACCAATAGATTATGCAAAGTTGCTCTTTTGCTTTATCTTTAAAGACTTGCAATGACTTCTAACAACATCACAACTAGCCCGAGTTGCTATGACATGTTTGACACAAGAAATTATTACTCACTAATGTTGAATCAATTTTAGCTTGGCAAGTGGGAATGCGGTTTTTCAGCGTTTCAATTTTCTTCCTTTGCTCCTGTAATTGCTTGTCCACATCGTACACCCATGACCAAGCAAGCTTTTTCCTTAACAACTGCACCTCCTGTGATATCTGTTCCACACGCTTTATGTTTTCAATCTTTTCTTGCAGGTCATTCAGTTCAAGTTGTACCGGTCTTATCAAATTCTCTAGTTCATCAACAAGAGCATATGCATCCTTCAATTGTTTAATAATACTTTCTAAAAGGTCATCGACTTGTTGAAGAAGCGTAGCCTTGAAAAAGAACTGAGTGATAAGTAGTGTCAGAATTATGCCCACGTGATTCTTTTCAGAAGAAAAAAGTTGTTATTGAACATTACCTTGAATTTATCCTTGTCATTCCCAGAGTGCAAAAACTCCCTACTTTTATCTTGACTCATAATAACGCACGGATTCTCAACATCAATCTACAGTAGGTAGAATGCAAATTTTCAAATATTTGTGTAAATAAGCTCACAAGAAAGTATAGTTTTGAATGTAAGTGTGAAATCAAAACAAAATGGTTGTCAATAACGTGGAGAAGACTCTTAGAAGAAAAAAACCATCAAAATTATACTGTCACAGTACGGTGTCCTGCACCATCAAATATTGTCATCAGGTCAATTACAAACCCACCTGACATGTAAGACTTTATTATGTTACATCTTAGATCAAAAAGAAGAAATTATAAAAGGTGTGATTAGGAAATGAGTGACTACAGTTAGAAAACTGATTACACTACTGCAAAACACATGATGAATTCTTTGTAACTGACTTATGTTTATCCAAACAGCCACAAATTAGAAAAACTGATGTATAAGAGAAGATAAGGAAAGTTAGAGGGGACATATAAAGAAAGAAAAAATAGAACTAGCATAATGATTAGGTATCAGCATCTCAAGTAGAACAAAGAAAAAGGCAAAGGAAGAGTAAACAGCTTGGGTAGAATGAGATCAAGGCAATGATCACAAGTTGATAGCACAATGTAGATATGGACACTCCACACAAGGTACACAAACTCCACTGAGAAAATCAAAAGAAAGTTACATACACGTGGGAAATTAAAGAGAAAATTACAAAAATCTTCAAACTATCCCATTCAGAGTGAAGAAGATCACTAGTTTAAAAATAAAACAGAATGAAAGCTGCTCCAACATATAATAAAATGATTTACTTTTAAAAGTGGGAAACACAGGTGTTATATACACCTGATTCAGACAAATTAATTAAGTTAGCTCTCATTGAAAACAAAAAAATGCTGCAATTAAGAAACTTAAAGCATACTTCTTAGGCCAAACACTCACATTGAAATGTTCAACCAGTTCACGGAGGTCCTCCTTCCGGCTGGCAACTTTTCTACCTGTCAAATGCCTCAGATGTAAGACAAGATAGAGCAAATACCATAACCACTTTAGCACGACAATTTGCAACCAAAATACCAAACAAAAGAAACTCATGACACATAATTAGCACAATACATAATTAGTACAACACATACAGAACATTGGACATTAAAGAAACCATTCGCTCACTAGACTATTAAAGCAAATTTGAAAGAAAATGATTCAAACCTTGACAATCTTTCAAAACAGTGGAGCTCGTAGAGTCAGTAATCCTGCGTTCTATAATAATTGTATCACCGAAAATATCTGGCTTAAAAGAATCGACTCCTTCATTTTTAATATCCACTTGAACAGTAGCATAACTGAGAATTAAGATAAATATCAGATATATCAAACAGATTACCCGTCACTAAACCAAACAATTAAAAGCAAAAGAAGAAGAAGAATAAACCTGCAGCCAGTTTTTATAAATTCCTTCAACTTCGAAGCCCTATTAGTTTCTTTGGCGCGGCTGCCGAAAGCTATACATAAAGCAGTTAGTATCGCGCTCTTCCCGCCTAAGGACACAAAAAAACAAACAATCAAACATGTCGCTCGTATCACATTCCAAGAAAAGTATTAACATGAATCGAATACACAACATATATATATATATATATATATATAGAGAGAGAGAGATGTACTTCCGTTTTGACCGGTAATGAAATTAACCCACTCGCCGAGTTCGATTTCAAGACTACTATGGCACATAAAGTTCTCCAACCTTATCCTTCGAATAGTACCCGCGCCGGATCTTTGAGCGCCACCGAAGAAAGCCCTAGAACTACTCATGGTTGTATCCGAGGGTTTGGCGATCACCAAAGCCCTAGTATCACAATTCGCAAGAAACAAAAATATTGAAGCTCTGAAAAGGGATCGTACAAAGAGACTTGCCCTTGACTCTTCAGATGGGATGGATTCGGGAGTGATTAAGGCGGGAAAGAAAAAGTGATATAATGTGATGCTCGTGTCTATCTAACAATGAAGTAACCCAATTAGGGGTTAGCAAAAGTACATGGCCCGAACTATTTGAATATAAAATTATAGAATATTTTAAAGGAAAATATTTGATTTTATAGGTCGAGTATTCGACCCTTATATTTTTAACGAGTTTATGGGATAGACCGGCATCATTTGGATGGTGAATGTGAAATTCTTATTGAATGAAATTCATATTTTTTTGTTTGGTTCGTTTGAGAAATTTATTTTTGGTAATGTAAGATTATTAATAGTAGATTTTTTGAGTATATTACCGGGAATATTATTACCTCTATTTCTTTAGGGATTGTTGGATTACTGGCGTTTTGGACTAAAATGTCTTTAAATTTTTTTTTTTCAAAAATATTCTTCTTCTGTCATTGAATAATAAATATTCTACGAAGGTTAAATTACAAATTTATCCTTAAACTATTTTAGATTTATAAAAAAAATTATAATTAAAATTTTATATGAAGTTCAGGGGTTAAAATAAAATTTTACTTTTTCATTAAACCTTTTTTATTTTTAATTTTGTAAAAAAATTATATAAATTTTATTAATTTAAATTTTTTAAAGAAAATATATAAATGTTTTCTAACTTGTTAAAAAAATATATAATAAGGACAATTTAATCAAATATACATTCTAATAATCTTTTATTCCTTTAACCAAACACGGTAATCTTACATTTCTGCTAAGCCAACCAAACACAAAATATAACATTCCCAGTAATCATATTCCCTGGTAATCTTACATTCTCACTGGTAATCTTACATTCCGTGAACCAAACGCACCCTAAAAGGGTACCTATCGACCCAGTTCTCCTTTTTTATTTTATTTTTATTTTAAATTAATTTTTTTATTTCTAATTTCAAAATTATTTCACCCTCACATTTTAAATTACTATTTTTTCAAATTATCTCACCATAATATTTTAATCTCAAATTACAACTAATTTATATAATCCAACTTAAAATATTTCTTTTAATCTCAAATTATTTTAAACTTAGTTGTAATTTTTTTTGTTCTTTTAAATTTTATTTTTAAATTATATAAGTTGGATTTATAATTTTTATGTTTATATTATGTATTATAAATTTTTAAGTTCTAAATTTTGAGTCTTTCTATGTGGATTTTTTATGTTATGTATTATAAATTGTGTTTTTTTTATGTGACAATTTTTTGTGACCCGAAAATTTTAAGTACTCGGCATTTCGAGTACACGAAACTACGAGTACCTGGATTTGAACATCCTGAACCCAATGGATCTATTTATTGCACATCCGAATCAATTTATAATTGTTGGGTACTTTAGCTTTTAAGTCGGTTTAGTTGAAGTTGGGCTTGTAATTGAACCCTAGCTCTTTAACAACAATGGACTTAAATTTGGGCAATAATCAAGCGATATGGATGGTAAAATTATTGTTGTAATTCCTTGGAGTCTCGGGTTCGAGCACATGAATGTCATGGATGTAAACGCTTACTATAAAAAATGTTGAGTCATATTTGAACAGATACTATCTTATATTTACCTTATATTAATTTAAAAAACAATTGACTCAAATCAACTAAGACTAAAAATATGCATGGGAACTTTTTCTCTCAATTTACTTGTACAAATAAAATAAATAAAATCTTCATATTCAAATTTGAAATTTAATATCAGATATTTTTATTTTTTTAGGCATAATAACAAAGATAGCACCTAACGTCTGACTACGTAGTTATTTTATCCTTTATTATTATTTTTGGAGTATTTAACCTCTATCATTTCATTTTTAGACAAAAAAAATCCATTCATAATAAAACTACTAGTCAACAAACGATCAATACATAAAATTATATGCATGTACAAGTGGACAAAAAACTAACATGGCATATCCATATCATCATTACTAAATATTGAACTTGGGGGTCATATAGATTAAAGCTTAACACCATACCACTAGGACAACCTATTTTGTTGGTATAATTTTACAAGAATCTTTATTTATGTTATACGCATTAGTTTATACCTTTTAACTTGGATATTGATATGTTTTTCTTGAAAATAATATTTATAATTAACTGAAGGTTAAAAATTACATATATAATTCTTTTAATATTTAATTAGATTATTATTTTAATAGTCTAATTAAAAATTATTTGTTTTACAATTAATTTTTAATAATCTAACTAAAAATTAATTTTACAATTAATACCTTAACAATATAAGTAAAAGATATTTTTTTTACATTTTTTTCTTATAAAAGAAGTTCCTTCCTCACAATTTGAATTCATGTTATGAGTCCTCAATTAGTGATAAATATCACTAACACTCTTCAAATTCACTTAAGCTGCGATAATAATGTCATAATAATACTAATTCAAATATGGCATCAAAGAAATTAGAGCAAGAACACTTAAAATTCCACTAAATAAAAAGAAAAATCACTTCTCCTATACCAATTCCTCCCCACCATTTTAAAAATAAAAAAAGGCCCGTAAAATTATCCAATATTAACATTCCACTATAGCTTTTTGTGCTAAAGAATCGTCAGTCCCGTCAGCTGCACCTACAAGAATCACATTGCCTCCATTAACTACTACACTCTCTAGTAGTTTCCTTTTAGGCTTGGCCTCTTGCAGCATCATCACAACATCCCTCATTGATGGTCGGTCTGCAGGGTTTCGGCTGGTGCATAGCAATGCCATTCTAAGCATTTGCATCATTTCTTCTCTCACCGATGCACATGAAGCCCCGGCATTTTTATCCAAAATGTCGGTAATTTTATTTTTGCTTTTGATTTTAGACCTTACCCAATCCACAATGCTGTTCCCATCGCCGAATTCCGGATCCACCGATTTTTTTCCGCTTAAAATCTCCATTAACACCACCCCAAAGCTATAGATATCACTCTTTTCATCGACCTGGAGAGTATAAGCATATTCTGTAAAAAAATAATACAAGGTTAATGCTTTTCTCGGGAAACAAACATGATCATCATAAGCCACAAAAATCCAAACAAATGCTAAAAGTCAAACAAGTAATGCATATCGTTTACTAATTAACGTGTACCAAATATTAAGCGCAAGATAGCAATAATCAATAGTCTCGGATTATAAAGAACCGAATTAAAAAACGCACCTGGAGCAATGTAGCCATAAGAGCCGGCAATGACGGACATGGACTCATCGCTCTGGATTAACTTGGCAACTCCGAAGTCCGCCACTCTGGCCTCCATCTCGCTGTCCAATAAAATATTACTTGGCTTGAGATCGCGATGAACAATCACTGGATCACAGTCATGGTGAAGATAACAAACGCCTTGAGCAACGCCAAGGGCAATTTTGTACCTTGTCACCCAATCGGCCACCAAGTTCTCCCCTTTGTTCTTGCCATGCAATAAGTCGTCCAAGTTGCCGTTGGGCATGTATTCGTAGAGCAGCATCGTGCACTCCCTGTTGCTGCAACACCCTAACAATCTCACTATGTTACGGTGCCTGACGTTCCCCAGCACGTCAACCTCCGCCAGCACACCTTTCAACCGTCTGATGGTCTCTTTGTTCTTACCCCACAACTTCTTCACCGCTATGATCTCGCCACCTGGCATCTCTGCTTTGTATACCGTTCCCGTGGACCCCATCCCTATGATCTTATCCGTCATCGACAGGCACTCTAGTACATCATCGGCGGTGAAATTCAAGCGCTGGAAGGCGGTCAATTTCCACGGTCCGATCTCACGATCGTCACTGAACTTGCGACTGTAATTCGCATGGAAACATCGAGTACCAGCTACCAGAACAAACAAACCAATACCAAAAGCGGCTGCCATAATCCAAATGATTGCTCCAGCCGTTTTCTTTGGCTGTTGCTGTTGCTTGTTACGAACTTCCATGTCACCTGTAGCCATCGCCTCAGCCGGGCACGGTCTCGCTAAAATTCTGCCACAAAGGCCGTTGTTGCCGGAAAATGATGAAGGGTGTAAGTTGGGAAATATTGGACCGGACGAAGGGATTGGGCCGGTTAGCAAGTTATAGGATACATCGAAATTTTCCAAAGTGCTGCAGTTTTCGAAGTTTGAAGGGATAGTTCCAGTAAGCAAATTATGCGAAAGATCAACAGCAGTTATTGAAGAAAGCGTTGATATTTCCCATGGAATTATTCCAGTAAATAAATTTCTGCTTAAATTCAAAGACAAGAGTTTTTCGCAATGATCAATGTCCCAGGGGATGCTTCCGTTTAGAGAATTACCTTGGAGCTCGATTTTGTACACGTTTTTACAGCCGATGAAATCCGGGATTTCGCCAGTTAGCTTGGCTGAACAGGCTGAGAATATCTGCAAGCTTGGTGAACCCCAAATGTTGCTCGGCAACGCTGCATTGAAAGAGTTCTCGGAGATGTTAAGGAACTGTAACGTCGGTGCATAGCCAAAATCCTTCGGAATCGCGCCGGTAAAGTAGTTCTTACTCACGTCCACAAACGTCAGGTTTTTCAAGTGTCCGAAACCGTAAGGGATGGTACCGTTGAGAAGATTGTTTTGGATTCGGAATCTTGAAAGTGAAGTGCAGTTTACAAGGCTTCCAGGTAGCTCATATGTGAACATGTTGTTAAACAGTATGAGTTTGAAAAGCTTGTTCCCACAGCAAAGATTTGGAGGGATTGGACCAGTGAGAGAATTCGAAGAAACATCAAGTGATAGCAAGTTCCCATTTGAACCTAGTTTCTGTGGGAGAATGCCGCTAAGATTGTTGTTCCAGAGAAGTAAAGTGTTGAGATTTGGTAACTCACCGATGCCTTCTGGGATTATACCAGAAAAGTTGTTGCCCATCAAGCTCAACCACGTTAGCTCTGTTAAAGAAGATATACCTTCTGGAATTGCGCCACTGAGCTGGTTGTCGGATAAATCAAGAACCCTGAGAGCTTTCAAGTTCGTGTAACTCACCGGGATTTCACCCGTGAAGCTGTTCTTGAAAAAGTACAAAAATTCCAGCCTAGTTAAATTGCCGAGCTCTTTAGGGAGTGGACCTGAAAGAGTACAATTTGAGATGTCCAAGTACTTTAGATTTGATAACAGTGCAAACTCTACTGGTATGGTGCCTGAGAAAGCATTGTAGCCAATCTCTATCCGTTCAAGTTGAGTCAAGAATCCGAGTTGACGTGGTAAAGTGCCTTGCAGTGCATTTCCAGCCAGGTCAAGCAACTTCAAGCTGGTAAACCTTCCATAAATAGCTGGTATTTCACCTTCAAAGTAGCTTCCCCCGAGATTGAGCTGCTCCAAGAACCTTAACCGTACGAACTCTATCGGTAATGGACCCTCGAAATCGTTGCTATATCCATTGAAGATTCTCAAGAACCTAAGCTTCGAGACCCCAGGCGGGAACTTTGAATTGAAGTAGTTATGGCTGATATCAAGAGTTCTAAGTTGCTCGAGCTCAAAAATGGCTCTTTGGAGAGGACCATCAAAGTAATTCCCACTCAAATTCAAGTTAACCAAACTCCTCAAATATCTGATTTCCGGTGGAATAAAACCAGAAAGATTCCGATGTGAGAGATCCAGAGTGACTTGAGCCGTTTTAGGATTGCACTTGACACCAGACCATGAACACCAAACAGGGTCTTCAAAACCAGGCTTGGAAAACGTAGGAGTAGGGTCCCAGTCTCTGAAACTGGAAACAGGGTCTTTGAGGGACGATTTCAACGAGAGAAGAGAAATCAAAGGGAGAGGCGGTGAAGAAGCAGAGAACACTAACAGAGATGACCCCCAGAAAAATGTGATCAGAGATGGAAGAAATGGATGTCTCTTCATGGTTTATGTGAAGAAAACTGGCTGGTTTAGAGAAGGTCGGTGTTTACAGAAGGTAAATTTAAGGGAAAAGAGGGTTTGATGGAGAGAGATTCATGGTTTCTCAAGCTGGCTGGTTGCATGGGAGGTTTCATCATTATGGTTTCACTCTCCTTTTCTTGGTTGGTAACAGCAAACAAAATATTTAAAAGAAAGAGACGATGGAGAAACATACAAATTACAACTTCCTTGTAACATACAAATAATCTTTTCCTTTTGCTACCACTTTTTCATCATTCCCTTGTTGCCTTTACCTTTGGCCATACAATTCTCTAATTTTCTGTTACAGTAAGCAATGTCTCCCACAGGATCCAAGAAAAGACATTCCTTTCGTTTTCCCACCATATCCTTAGTTTGTTAGTATTTCAAACCAAAACCCTGTTTTTTTATTGCTTTATTTCTCTAAGTTGGTAGAGCACAAGATCGTGGGATCGAGTCTCACGAAGGCATTTCATAATTCGGAGATCTTCTACGGAAATTACTCTCAACCTGGTGTTAGATGCAGTCTACTATCTTACCTCCCCTTATCCCATTACATATGAGAACAAGGGACAACCATTTTTTCTCTGTTTCATACCTCTAGATTTATATTCAAATATTCCTTGTGTTATCTGTAAATGATTGAAAGAAATACTACAACAGAAAAAACAAACCCAAAGCCCGGCATTTCATAATTTGGAGATCTTCTACGGAAATTACTCTCAACCTGGTGTTAGATGCAGTCTACTATCTTACCTCCCCTTATCCCATTACATATGAGAACAAGGGACAACCATTTTTTTATCTATGTTTCATACCTCTAGATCTTATATTCAAATATTCCTTGTGTTATCTGTAAATGATTGAAAGAAATACTACAACAGAAATAAACAAAACCCAAAGCCCTTGTTAAATCATTCAAATTTATTTTCATCTATAAAATAAAATTCAATCGAGTATTTATGCACGTTATTAAATATGTTCGGCAAAGGTATAACCGTGATTATTTTACTAGTGCTAGTAAGTAGTGACACTACTAATCACTATCATGATTGCTTATAATTTTGTATATTTCGAATCATTTACTTTTAAAGCTACAAGGCATAACCAATTATGTCTCTTTAATAATTTTATTTATATTCTTCTAGTTTTCTCTCGTTAGTAAGTCGATCATTTTTTTTTTTTTATCTTTGTTGATTAACGGTGACACAAATTTTAATTTTGGTTGTCGGCCGTCAATATTCTTTATTGTCCTTTTATTTTATCTTGTTTTTTATTTTCAATAAATCTGCATGTATAACATAGTCTTTTTGCATTTATAACACGTTTTCTTATGCCTTTTTGTACGTTTTTTACCATTTGATCGTTGTTTTCATGTATCATTTTTTAAGGATTGATTAGACATCGTCACGACTGATCAAGATGATGCTTATCTATTATATTGTTGATATTCTCTGCTTTGGACTATCGGATTGGATTTAGATATCCGTTATGCGTTCGTGGATAGCTTTTCATGTTGCTCGATTCTGATTTGAGATTTATTGGTGATCTTTTAGTAGTTTGATCTCATTTTGTGGTTCGTTTGTCAATGCGATCATATATATTTGTATATATCTTTGTTTGAGTTTTCTTGGTTAGATTTTAATCTTTCCTTGTATGGCCCTTATGTGATCTTAAGTTGCTAGTTTTGTTTCAATGGTGGTAAGAAATTGTCCTAATTACGTACTTTATTATAATTTATGATATTTTCTATTTTTAATAAAATTAGTAATTTATTTTTTTTAAATCATTTATATTATAAGTATTATTTCTAGTTTGCTTAATTTATTTTTTACTGAAAAAGTTTGCTTTAATTCTTAAAATTTAGATAGAAATATTAAATCATCGTTGTAAGGTTAAACATTGTCATTAAAGGTCCAAGTTAATATAAGTAGAAAACTACGATAGTCGAGTAAATAATGTGAGTTGTAGCACTACTTTCGTCAATTGTTTTAAAAGTCAAGTAACTCTTATTGGCATACTTAGATCGTTCTATTGATCCAACAAAATTTAGATAATCGATAATTACAAGAATAAATGAATTTAATTACTCAACGTTCGAACAATAATATTCACCTTAAGGGGGCGTTTGGATGGGTGAATGTGAAATTCTCATGAGAATGAAATCCACATTCTCCGTTTGGTTTGTCCGGGAATCCCATTCCCGGTAATGAAAGATTAACAATAGTAGATTTTTTTAAGTATATTACCGGGAATGTCATTGCCTCCCTTTCCTTATGTATTGTTGGATTACCGGCGTTTTAGACTAAAATGCCCTTAATTTTTTTCTCAAAAATATAATTTTTCTGTCATTGAATAATAAAAATTCTACAAATGTTAAATTACAAATTTATCCTTAAACTATTTTAGATTTACAAAAAATATATATAATTAAAATTTTATATGAAGTTTAGGGGTTAAAATAAAATTTTACCCTTTCATTAAATCTTTTTATATTTTTAATTTTGTAAAAAAATATATATAAATTTTATGAATTTAATTTTTTTAAAGAAAATATATAAATATTTTTCAATTTGTTAAAAAATATATATAATAAGGATAATTTGATCAAATATACATTCCAATAATCTTTTATTTCTTTAATCAAATATGATAATTTAAATAAGTTGTATTGGAATTTTTGAAATATACATTATGTGAAATAAAATCATAATATATTTTTGTAAATGACATAAATTATCCATTTAAATAAAGAATAAATTGGGCATTGGCAGTGTTCATCAGAATCAAACACACACTGACAGTAGTTGTCTCTGTCTTATTTTTATTTTCTCTTTATTAATTTTTTTAAAAAAAGGCAAAAGCATTTTGAGCGGGCAGTTTGAAATCCAAAGTCTGCAACATGTCTAAAATAAAAATAAATTTGAGTATTTGGCCATGGGCACCGGGCAGGGCAGGAACTATTAATTATTTAAATATTCCATCCAGAACTCTTCTAATTAATGTAAATATGTTCATACGAAGAATTTTTAGTTTAAAGTACATCTCTATCGTTTTCTTTATTACAATTTTAAATGTATACGTCAACACGTGTTAATTAGCGATCTTTTTAATGATCATTACGGTATATACACTTAAAATTTTAATGTTAAAAATATTAGAAACTTACTTTGAACGAAAATTTCTTTAAGCATCTAATGGTAAAAAAATGATATAATTAGAGCACTTATTTTATCATTAAGCTAATTAACTAAAAAAAGTTTTTGATTAGGGGCAACAAATCCCTTTAAAATGGTAAAGGTTTATTCTAACCCATTTTTAGATCCATTAGTTGATTAGGGGTACCGTAAAAGTTTATTATGGGGACATTATTTCAATCTAGTTTATTCAGTGTTACTATGTTAGGATCAAATCCATGACTTTCTTTGAAGGACATAGGGTATCATCCTGTAATAAAATTTAATTTCATTTATTATGAGAAGATTTAAACACTCCAGGTCATGAAGGACCTATTGTCTCATTCCGCGATACTAGATTAATGTGTAGCTGATAAGATATCCAAAAAAAGGTAAACCACACCAATGGTTACTAAAGTTTATGTTAGTTTCTCTTTTCAGCATTGAAGTTCACAAAGTTACGTTATGGTCACTAACGTTTTTGATTTATAAAAAAATGATAACTCAGTCGTTAACGTTCATTACCTGGGTAACGATAATCTGACAAGAAACATTAGGGAAATTGAGTAGCAATTTCTATAAGAAATTAATATTCTCTTATAATATGACGATCGAATGATTGTTTTGTTATATATCAACAATGTTAGTGATTGTAACATAATTTTTAAAAATTTAGTCACTCAAAATTTAGTGACGTTGTAGTTTACCCAATATTTTAAGAGTATATACGATATATATACACGAAGAGAGAAAAAAACCCTATCTAAGGTAAGCAATCTTCAAAAAAAAATGATGAATAAAATTACTAGTTTTACATGGGTAAAATACACCCATTAGTCATTGAACTTTACATGTTCCCTCGTTTTGGTCATTGGATTGTAAATTGTTTCAAATTTTCCACTAAACTTTTTGAATTGTTTTTACGACTTGATCGTTAAATTATTATTGATGTGATGATGTAACACCCGAACCATAAGTTTGAGCAGGTTTGGAGCACTACATCGGGCCATCGAAGTAACCACTGGTCTATGTTTATATTATTGGTGAGCATATTATTGATAATCATATCACATGTATTAATATCAACATTAATTTTTTGCATTATTAAATATTTCATGATTTTTCTATTAGTGAGCCTAAATGCACCTAGTTATATCACATATCAACTATAACAATGTCACATTTAATCACATCACACTATTAATGATATAACGATCCAGTGACTAAAAGACAATTTCAACAACTTTAATGGAAAAACTGTAACAATTTATAGTTCGGTTACCAAAATGAGACAACTCTAAACTTTTTAACTAATATTGTAGTTTACCCTTTTATATCTTAAATAATGTATTACATAATATAAAGAATATACAAACTAACTTAATAAATCATTATAGGAATAACGTCCACATGTGCGTGTATATAGTTTTGAATTTGTAAAAGTGAAATTTTGTCTCTCCCTTGAAACTCGTTAATTTTAGGGTGAAGTACACAAATGATCCATTGATTACAGGATTATGCTTTGTTGAGTCCACTTACTATTAAAAGTTATAAAATACTCACTGGCTATGCAAATGTTCCAAACTCGTAATTTTTCGTTAAAAATTGACGTTCATCTGAGTTTGATGTTACTATGCTCACTAATATCATATTTTAATAATGTCTATTGGCATCGTTGTGCTTTTAAGCACTGTCTCGACGACATAATGTTTTAAGCACTAGCTCGATGATACAATTTAAACAGAGATTTGATACAAAATATAGTTCAAATAGTTATAAGATCATATTTTATAAGATCCTAGTGAGAAAGTTAACGTCAAACTCATACAATTACTAATCTTTTAACGGAAAATGACGAGTTTTGAACATATGAATAGTCGGATTACTATTTTATAACTTTAATAGTCGGAAGACTTAACAAAGCAACAACTTACAGTCGAATGATCATTTGTAACTTTTAATAGTGATGAGACTCAACAGAGCTACACCTTGTAATTGGAGGACTATTTATATACTTTA